TTGTCAAGTTTGCTCGTTTTGTTTGTATTCTCCACATTGAACTCTCGAGCCTTGCTACATACCAATTGAATATTGCCCCCCCTTGTCTATTCCGTACACTGTACCTGTACCATATACTTTTTAGAAACGGAACAAGAACCTTGAAAGCAGGCCAGATTTTCAAGGAATCAAGATTTTGTTCTAAATGCTCCGAGAGTAGGAACCTTGTATCAAATTATCTCCATCTTTAATATTTTATTTCTTCGATTCTCACTCCAGATTTCGATTCCCGGGCAAGCAATTGATGTCATTGGCAAATTCTCGCAAAGTATCCGTCTCAATTTTCTGGAAGCGACGGTTATGTTTTGTCTAAACATTGAATTTTATGAGGGTATTCCTAAACAAAAGGAGATGAGAACTTTGACAACACAGAGCTTATATCTTCATTTGCTCTCTTTTGATCAAACATGTGGTCTCATGTCTGATATGAGCAATCATCATCGATCAGTGATCCAAAATAAACGTGGCAAGGATATCAAAGCGAGCTGAGAGACAATCTTCCTCATCTGCCAATAACATTCGTTAACATGATCCGATATGTCAGCCGGGGTTTAGACTCGCGGCGGCTACACGATACAAGGCCGGCCATAGATTAGATCTTTCCTGAGTCGGATACGGCAAAGGAACGGGATGGTACGTGAGGAGTACAATGATATGGCAGCTATGCAAGTTGCCGCCTTCTTTACGTGAGTCCATTTTATTCTTTTATCAATGAATTGTGGATTATTACTCAACTTCAACCATTATAATGGCATCCTTCTTGTGTAGGCAGGTGATATTTATCCGAGCAAAATGCAAGAAAGAAAATTTCCCTTGGAAGACGTGTCAGTTATCAAGGAAATAAACAAAACGGGAATCCACTTCTCGCCAAATTGAAACGACGTCACGAGCTTTGCGATGTGCGCACGCAGAGATTGCAGATCTTCGGAGATGGAAATAAATTGAATTAAAGCTTGGGTCTTTTTTTTTGTGTGTCTTATTTTGGATTACCTGTGTCTACCCCGCATCGTATTCTTTCCTCCAAGATGGGAATTTGAAGGCTGGAATATGCCATGGTATTGAAAGATTGGAATCTGGTTGAGATCTGAAGATCTTTTATTTTGCGTTTGTTTCTTTGACCCCTCTATCTATCTATCTATCTATCTATCTATCTATTGATATCTGTGTGTTTTTTGGGTATCTCTCTTGTCAACAAACAAACTGGTTGCTATGTGCTTGCTATGTTGTCATTCTTCTCGTTCCCTCCTCATATGCAATGCAGTCAAGTGGACATACATAGCATACCTTTCACGCCCGTGGTTTCGGAGGCTTGCATATATCCCGAGCTTTACGCTGAGGATGACTGTATGTGAGCTGAGTGATGAGTGATGAGTGATGATTGATGAATTGTGAATTGTGAATTATGATGGATATGCTTAAACCTCTAAACCCAAGAGAGCATAATTCTTTTATTCTTTCACTATTCTTTTGGGTCGTTTGTTTCTCCCTCCTCCCACTTTGACCCCGCAACGTTAATGCGACCGGGGAATTAAAATTTACATTTTAATTCCTCATTCAATAATGGGTAATGTATAATTCACAAGAGATCCTGAAAATCAAAAAGAAGATGGCTGGGAATGGTGGGTTGGGCTTGGAATTTTCTCAGCTGGGAAGGTGGGTGAGATGAGATGAGGGAGGGAAGAGGGGAATTGGATTTTTGCTAGGTAGGTAGGTAGGTAGGGCTTGCTAGAGCTTTTGCGTCTACCTTTTGCTACGGAATTGAGTACCTACCTATAGAACTTGAGAGTTATCGCAATGTATGTATACAGACAGATGAATAGATAGATCGATAGATACATAATTGATGGATTGGTATGATATGATATGATATGATATGATAGCCTTTACTTCCTGTGTGTGTGCAACGCACAGACTGTTCGGACGGTTTCATATTTCACATTTCATATTTCACATGTTCTTCTTTTTCCTACATGGGCGATATAATTGGAGAGGAGCAGGGCGTTGATTTTTCGCAATCGTAATCGATATACCATTTTTAGAAACTTGGATCATCTAGGTAGAGTTTGAGGGAGGGTATTTTGGGATTGATGAATTGGAATGGATGGGAAGGGGAACAGTCTGGGTTTGCGTTTTGGGTTTGGGGTTGGGTTTGGGTTTGATCTTTACTGGGTGATGATGATGGATGGATGGATGGAGGGATGGGGAGATATTGGGTATCAGATTGATAGATGGATAAAAAGATGGAGGGATAGATTGCGAGATAGGATAGCAGGAAGAAATGAAACTTAGAGGAGAGTTATCGATAGTATCGAATTTATGATTTTGATTTATGATTTTGATTTATGATTTTGTGCTCGTGCTTGTTTTTGCGATGGATGTCACGAGATGTATCTACTAGGTATGGTATGCTAAGCATGAGCCTCTTGCCTTTCTGGGGAGGAGAGGTTCGAGCAGAAGGTACTCAGGTAGCATGCAAGCAAAGTGATTTTGTCCTTTATGATTAGACAAATCACAAATTCGTACCGAGGTGATGGATGATACCTCGAAATAAAAACAATAACAAAGATGGATGCTCAGATGGTGAGTTTGGAAGAAAGAGAAGATGTATATATATGGAGCTTGTGTATAGCTATATCAATCATTTCATGTACCTATATCTATATAAACGAAGAACCTTTCCATCCATCCGTTCAGAAATCTACATTCCGCTTGAGAAGCAAAATAAATACACAACGGAAGGTTTCAAACTGCCGAAAGAACATTCGGAAATGGAAAACAAAATTCATCTCGATCTCTTTCGGCATTTGTGGTATATATTCCCCTTTTTCTTTTACTTTTTAATACTGCACCCGTGTTTTTGTTCCTTGTGTATGCAGGTCTTGGGGGTAGGTATGTCCGGTTCGCTTCTGCAGGTATTACTTACATGTACGGACTCCGGAGGGAGGGATAGAGGAGAGGTTGGTATGTAGACCTGGGTATTTGGGAGTGATATTTTTACTTGCTTTGTGATGCTATGTATGTATGTATGTATGTATGTGTGTAATTTCTGGATGCTTGGGTAAATCGGATCGGATTTGGATATTTAGTATTGAGATCTAGTATGTATGAATCTAGGTATCTATGTATTGTGGCTTTAGACAAGGAGAATGCTCCCTCACATTTACATAATGCATTATGTATCGTGTAAATCTAGACGTATCGTGCACAGCCGCGCAAGATGTGGAAAGCAAAGCAAAGCAAAGCACAGTCAGTTAGCCCGCTAGTCAACCGGCCCGCATCTGTGCTATATGATTGCAATTCGCTCGTGAGAGGGAGAGGAGAGGAGAATATGTAATAAGCCCGCGGCGAAGTAAAGCTTGGGAGATATCCGTTCCACCCGAGCTAGCTAGCTAGCTACAGCCCACCATCTTTTTAGTACGGCATATTTCCCCTCCTCGCCTGTGTCTTGCTAGTGCGGATTATTTATTTATTCGGGTTTTGTGAAGCACTGAAGCTGAAGATGGATGGGTGTAAGTGTAATATGTATTATGTGTTATGTATCATGTATGTAAATGTGTATGTGTATGTAGAAGTATGTGTATATGTGTATATGTATATGTAGATACCTATGCGTATGTCTTGGTCCCTTTATGCTTCTGCATGCATCCATCTCGAATCTGGAATCTACAATCTGCACACTTCCGGCCCGGTATTCAGATCTCTGCGCGGCATCTACGAAGACGTAAGCTAAGCTAAGTCATAGCTATAGCTAGCTATAGCTTCAAGCTTGTATCAAAAAAGTTTTAGTATGAATGAGCCATGCCCCGCTCCGCCGGCTCCCACAAAAAGGAGACTAAAGGTATACATACCCAGGCAGGTAAGAAAGCTCAGATCATTAATTAATGAAAATGGTTCTAGAAAAACCGAGAGGAAAAGGAAGAAAAAGGTGGAGTTCCACTCTTATTTGGATCCGTTATTAGGTATTATTATTATTTCTTCTAGTGAATTTGTTTTTGATGGTGTTTCTCGGTATGTACTACGGGTGTTTCGGTTGCTGGATTGTGGGGGGGTTCGGGTAGAATGTACATTCTAAAATAATTGGGGTTTTTGTTTTGGATGGGGACCCTGATTTCTTATAGTTTTACTACTCTAAGTTTTACTACTCTAGGTTGGTGGTGAAGTGAAGTGAAGCGGATAGATGGGTGGGTGAATGGTTGGATGGATATCAATATCCACAGTGCGGATTCCCACTCCTCCGGGAAGGGAAAAAAGAAAAGAAGTTTTCTCACGAACGATGGATGGATAGGATAGGATAGGATAGGATAGGATAGGATAGGATAGCAAGCTTTCGCTCCGCTCGGTGCAAGTGGAGTTTGTTTTAACTTTCTAAACCGTTGCTGTGGTAGAGAAAGATTTTTTTTCTGGGCTTCTTTTTTTTTCCTATTCTTGCCGAGAGATGTGCAATGGTCAGATCCATCAGAGTCTGGGGTTTGGAACTTGAAGAAGATCTTTTACGAATTACTACGTAGATTGACTATATCGAGTGGATATATGGCCGAAGTGGTGACAAATGGCTCATGATGGTTCGTGATGGGTTTTTTCTTAGGCGTATGATGTTAATATATACTTGCGTGGAAAATTTTGTTAGTTTGCTGAGGGATGGACATATCTATGGAGTATGTTACATATATATATACATAATCGGTCATGGCGGCTTGCATTCTTTTTATGACAATTCATTTCAATCTAATCGGAAAATACTTATGATGAAACTTGTACAACTTTTTTCTTGTGTACAAGCACAAGCACGAAGGAGTCGGTACCTTGAAGTTATTCATCTTCATCGGAAGTGAACATTCTTTTTGGACGAATTCACGAAACTTGGATTGACACTTTGGGTTTGGTCGTCGGTGACGGAATACCGGTAGGATATCTAGTATGATAGCATAGGACAGGATAGGATAGGATACAAGACAATAGGGTTAGAAAGGCATATGCCAATGCCCAAAGCTTTCAATAAGCCCAAGAACTATGGAACTATGGCATAACTGTACTCACCAGACCTGACAGACTTGACTTACTTTACTTGCTACTTACTTACTTAGCACACTTAACACACCGACCGACCACCAACGACACGAACGAACGAACCCAATTTCAATATATTGGAAATTTGAGTTTCCACATTCACGTCCCCCCTTAACCCAGTCTCTGGGGAAACCGGCGATTATATACATACCTAGTATCAATCAAATTCTGAAGTGTGTCTTCTACGTATCTGTTTCATTTCGCCTAGGTCTAGAGTGTGTTTTAAACAATACATGAAAGGACCCTTTGTTTTACAAGCAGTCTCTAGACTCTATGGACTCTTTCTTTTTTTTTGGCAAGTTGACTCGACTTGAAGATTTTCAAAAATCTTCTTTTTTGGTGTGATGCTCGAGAGGTAAGGTAAGTTGACCTCGTGAGCCTCGTCGCCCAACCTTGAAACAAGCTCTCCCTTTTTTCTTTTTTTCCCTGGTATTCTCGTTTCTCCTGTCTTGTCTTTGTCTGAGTCGGACCAGTGGAATCGGAAGTCACTATCTGACCGGCCGTTTCGTTCGTCGCTGCGGAAACCTGAGGGGGTAGGTGTAGTGGAGTGGAGATGGGATGGGATTAATTTTGCGTTGGAGGAACAACGATGATCTGATCGGACCCTGGATTCATATATTTGATTTCTTCAAACGGGAAAAAATAAAGTGAGAAAAGAATTAATTCGTGATTGAATGAATTGACTGCGAGCTTGAATGGAATTGGAAATACCTATCTAGTAAGTAAAGAAAGAAAAGGAAGGGGTAAGTAAGGACTCGGAATATCAATCTGTGACTTGTGATGATCATCGTGTGTATCAAATTCGGAGGATGATCCTATCATCATGGATGAGTAAGTAGGTGCGTGAAGATAGTATACTGTCATCTTGACTCGAGAGAGTTATATTTTGAGTTTTTTTCTTTCTTTCTTTCTGAAAGCTAGGTAGTATGATGTTCCGTAAATCCCCTACGTTACATTCAAATGATTTTCATCGTATCTATCGTGGACGAATGAATTTTTTTATCCGTCCATGATCTTTGATAAGAAGAAAGTGCAAGTGCCACGATGGATATCATGATATGTATAGGGATGTATATGTATGATATATATCCAGGTATATATGCATTATGGATGGGGCATCTGCATTGCATTGCATATTTTGGGAGGAGAAAAATTATTGATGCACGCGTGCCGTGTGCATGGGGGAATTATCGGTCGCTTAGGGAGGCATGAATCGTAAGTGTAGGGTGGTGAAGAAATGTATATAAAGTGGATGGAAGATCAAATGGTTGGAGAGTTGGATGGATGGATTGCATTTGCAGCTGCTTTTCAATAGAATCATGTATGTATGATGTATCATGCAAAGAGATGGATGGACTAGGGGTGGAGGTGTTGTGAGATGGCAAGTGTCATGTCATGTCATGCAATGCAGAAGTACCCCGCATTGCTGCGTCGGTATGTGTTGATGAGAAAGAACGTGATGGCGAGAAATTTTTTAAGGGTTGGAGATTGTGGATTGCTGGTGGGTAAGAGAATGAAGGATAGAGTTTGTGGATGTTAAAGGGTGGAGGATGAAGAATGGAGGATACGAATGGAGATGGGGAGATCGACCGGATGATCGTGGTGGAGGACATGGACATGAACTTGAGGGGTGGCGATGTTGTGTTGTCATTTTGATTATGGGGATGAGATGTTATCATGACGATAACTAATTGTTGTATGATAGGCGGTAGATGAGCTCATCTATGAAAATCATTTTGCCTCCAGAGAACTCTCTCCAGCCTATATTTCACATTACATCATTTCCAACCCGTTTGCCATGCGTTCGATCTTCCATCGTGGATATTCACCGCCAGTTATAGTGACGGCATCATGAGTTTTGTGAATGGAGTATTCATGGGAGGGGAGGGTTTACTCATTGTTTGTTCAAGTCGCCTGAGTCTCTCTCTCGAAACTCCACGTTGTCAAATACAAGAGGACGTATCTTTCTATTAGGATTCTCTCCTCACTTGACATCCAGTGATTGAAGAGAACATGCCATAAATTCTGCAAAGTGGTGGATATTCTACTAGAATCAACATATGCAATGCATCAGATACCGGTGCAACATCGGGCGTCCAGCATCGTCAGTGCTGATGGGAGGGGTAGAATTGATTGCTAAGACTATCATTGCTATCGTTGCTATCGTGGTTTATATTGGTATGTTTTTGTTGTTATGGTTTAATTCATGAGTAAATGTGCGCTTTGTGGCTATTTTGGGCTTGTTAACTTCTGTTGTTGTCATTGGCTCCAAGGCTTCCTCTATTTTGCAGTTTTTTTTTCCTTTTTGGGGTATCTAGAACTTCTGTCAAATGTCATGAGCTGTGGCAATGGAAGTTAGGACTTCTAATGAGTGACTGATTTATGAATGAAAATGAGAAGTTCTGATTTGGGTCCTGGGGCTTTGGAATGGGCGTGGATCCCTCTATCCGCGCGCGTAGTCTGTGAGTTTGTTCGTTGGTTATCTGGAGAAGAAGAGGGGGCTTATATAATGAATAGTTGTGAAAAGCTGGTGGGTAGTTAGGGATGAGAGGAGATAGTGAAAGAACTAGAGGAGCCAGAGGATGGTGAACAAGTTTGTTGTGCGAGAGAGAAAGAGCGAGAGTTAAGGGGCAAGGGGGGGGGGGGCTTGATTAACTTGTATGCCCAATGCTCTCATGGTTCCCCCTTCTACTTCTCTTCCGTTCGGTGTATATAAGATAAACTCTTGATTGGTCATTCCGAGTGAGGATTCAATCAAGATCAGGGAAATCTGAAGAACATGATGCCGAATTAATTGGACACAAAGTGTTTGAGAAACTGGTGCGAGTCTTGGGTGACTTTGATCTTGTTATCCTCTATTCCTCGCCTATCTCCTGTGATATTTTCCTCGTCTTGTCCTGGTTTTTGGTTGTGAGACAATTTTCAGTTGTCAAGTGTTGTGAGATTGTCAATATTATCGTTATCATTATTGTTGTCATTTTCATTTTCATTGTCATTCCTACTCATCATCTAATCTATCTAAGATTTTCGGCGGAATATAGATAGACGAGATGTGACACGCAGTATCAAGGTAGTCTGCAAACAGTTGAAAAGATAAAGGATATCAATGGGATTGAAAGATGAGCTACACTCCTCACGGTCCAGTATGTATTTGCTGTCGTCATAATGAAGAGAAAGTTTTAAAGAGGAGAGGCATTTATATAATGATGGGTGACAGCAGAGGAGATCAGGTAGGGACCCTGGGCGATGAGTGAGTGAACATGATCAGAAAAGATGGAGGATGGCCATGCGGGTAAGTTAGTGGATGCCAGCTACTTCTGAGCTGAATGAGAAGACTATTCATTGGGGGTACTGAAGTCTTAGTGATAGCTACTTGGATTGGTAACTAGACGATCTCGTGATTTGTGATGAGCAGATGGAGACTTGGAAAACTTAGCAGATTAGCAAAGGAGCTTTATAGGAGGTGAAATTCTCTGGCAAAGGTTGTAGTCGCAGTGCAAAGATGGTAGTGAATCTTAAAGTGGAAGCGGAAGCGGAAGAGCATGGAGAAGAGCACATATAAAGGGCCTCCTCCGTTCAGAAAAGTGATTCTCTATGCGAAATTGTTAGGGAGATCCGTGTACTAGACAATGTGGGTAAGACCATCGTTAACTTTGAACGCACAGATAGTTCAAGCCAGGAAATAATGAGATACTGTTCTTATAGCGTGAATAGAGAATGGAAGAAAGGAAGAATGGACATTGTTGATTCTAGTGTCATTGTCATCAATCCCACACTTGTCATCATTGTTATACTCTTGCGTGTTATTATCAAGTGATTTAGACATCGAGACTTTGAGGCTTAGGGAATGGAACAGGTTCAAGACTCTGATATGGAAACGGGATATTGTCCACGTTGATGAATGCCATAAGTATTTCTCTCCTTGGATAGATCATTTCGTTTTTGGTGATGGTATGGATGAAAGTGGTAGAAGCTGGGAAATGTTGTGCTACTAATGGGAAAAAGCGACGAAAGAGGAGAGACTGAGGAACGATCATGAGGAGAAGTGAGATCTGGTGAATAGCGAAGGTTAGGAAAGTAACTGTGCGTTAACAGATTCTTTACTTCATCCTCCTGACTTTACTGTCTAGAGATAGCGGCTCGTTATAGAAGTCGTCGTTTGGGGCTCTCGTTATTTAATTAAACAATACGTGGGAGATACTGAGCCTAAGTCATGTGCTTTCCCTATTGTGTGGAAAGATTTTATGATTGCTGTGACTCGCGGGCAGACCCAATCATGGTTGCTCAGGTTTTGGGAAGGGTTAATTCCACTTTCTTGCCATTTCTGACTCCCTCTGCCCATTAAGAGCTTCGTTTTCATTGATTGTTATTTCTCACTGTCGATTCTTGAACTCTTTCGTTGCATGTTCTTTAGTCCGATACTGCACCAAGTGGGTATCGAGACATCTTAAGTCTATTCACAACCGGCATCACCCACATTAATGATATATCGTGTAGGAATGCTAGTTCAGTAGGCTATCCTTGTCTGAGTTGCCAATGCTACTCCCCAATTCACTGTAGAGAGGAGAAAGGGGGCGTGAAAGCCAGTTTATAAGAATGCTTGTTAGCATTGAGAAAGTAGGAGTAAAAAATAGGGAAAATGTGGGACGAGATGATGAATGCGTTGAGCAACAGAAATCTGTATAGAGCTGAGAAATAGTTGGTGAATCGATAATGCTATCTGAATATTCAATCGTTCGCCCCGTTCATCGTCCTAGAACTCGGCAAACAATTTCTGCCCTGTGACATTTAGATATGCGACATTTATGATGTGATACCTCAGCAAAGTTGAATAGCTCGATAGAGGAAAAAAACGAGGGCGTGCAAGAAGTTCCAGCTTCGTCACCGTGCCCAAGTAACTCTGTGTCCACTACGATTTGGGGTGCAAAATAAAGTCGAAATGATCATGAATGATTGGAGAGACGAGTGAAAGTCTATATTTTGTTGTCACTCTTACCGTTATTTGTACTTGTTATCATCATCATTCTATTCTCATTTCTTCAACGTTGAGCCCTGCCTGAAAAATCTGAGGATATATGCTAAACACAGCTATAACATGTCAGGAATTTCACAATATCTCATTATGGAAATTGTCGTCATCCGCAAATGATTGTGCACACAGCACTTGGAGTCACCTCGAAAAACCTCAGTCTAACAAATTCATTCTTCCTTGATGGTTGTCTCTCCAAAATTGCGGAGTACACTTCCAAAAATATTCTCAATTGTTATATAAACGTTCCAATTTCTTGTGTTTCAAACAGAAAACTGCGCAATGATTGGGGAGAAATTATGAGGTCTGCAACTAATGGCTGTTGGTAGGGCTACTATAGTCCCGAGCTAGTTGCGGTTTGTCTGGCTGTTCGTGAAGGAATGAGCACGAGCTGGATGGGAGTTAGGATGAAGTATAATACTATCATTTCTTTGCGCTTATATAATAGCCACTTTTTGCTGTCATGAATTATCACTAAGGCTATTATTCTACTTCCATCTCATTTTCGCTATAGTCTTTGGGCTCCAATTAAAATTCCCATCCCCTTCTTGCAATTCTCCTGAGAATGGAGTAATGGCAAATAGTGTGTCTCAAACTTACAAGTCATGCCTTTGTTTCTGACGTTGCTCTTTATGTTTGGTTTAATGAGCTGAAATGGGAGAAAGATTTGCTTATATATGTGTAAAGGACTTTGAATTTTCATTGGGCCGGTGGGTGAGGGTGTGAGACGAAGGGTTGGGTTCGTGTTTCGCTGAAGATGATGCTTGTTGACGGAAGACTAAGGGTGAATCATGTAGGTATTGGAGGGGGGCGCTGGGAAGAAGACAACAGATGATGAATGTACACACATTCACTATACCGTCTGCCTTTTCTCCATATGCTTTCTATAAAAGTCTCTTATTTTGCCAGCCTGTTCTAAACCATCAAGGTGCTTTCCGCCATCAAAATTTACCGCAAAAACTCACGAAGTTGGAGAGGCGGTTACCATGTAGTGATATCGGATTAATTTAGGTGAAATCTAGGATTCAAGCTTCAAAATACAGATTTAGTGATGTGGAATTCGTGGACATAATTTATCCCGTTGTCCAATGTGACTTTTCCCTGTCGTTTTAGTTCTACGTCCCTAATATCTCTGGTGCCACTTCATTAAGTGGTGACACTAAGATCTTATACTCCACTTCAGACGAATTATTGCCTCGCGTGTCAAATTGCGATATCGGCGCAGGCTGTTCTCCTCGCCCGTCTGTCTGGCTTTCTCAACGTCAAACGCCTATCTAGGTGCAGAACATAGGAATTAGGAAGGGTGGAAGCTTATATATTAAGATCGTAGAAAAGATATGAAAGAGACGCGGCCTTGCAGAGGATTGACAAACAAGTGAATGGGTCATGTAACGTTGATAATACGAAGTAAATGTAACTAAATGACTTCATGATTCACTAATGCCACCTGAGCATTGTTTCCACGCTCTAAAAATCAGTAAAGAAAGTCGTTGCGAAGGTACATAAGAGACTCTTATTTTTGCTAGGCTGTAATAAACTGAAATTCACAAGGAACAATTTCGAGAGAATATAATCTGAGTCGGAATTTCACCAGATGGCTAGTTATCTCTCTTCGCTCTACATTCCGACAGGTCCAGGATCTCCAAGGGGGACAAAACTAGGAAGATTCAAAAATTTATTGTCAATTCATACATATTGTTATTGTTTTCATTCTGTTTCATCTTATATTTCCCGCCCAAAGATCAGTCAAATACCACGAATCCATTTTCCGTGTTCAATCACAAGCTTTTAAACCCAAAGAAGAAAAAACCCCTCCATGATCAGGCTAGAGAGCAAAAGGTACGAGTTCCTCTAATTGAGCAAAATTTAGGAAAGCAGAGTGTTTTTAAATGGTGAGTGTCATGGTAAATCGCGTCATTGAAAGTGTAATGACGGATAAAAATGGGGCTAATAACTGGACGAACTCAGCTTTTTCGAATCCAGTTTCATGTAATAATTTCGCAAATTATATACAAAACTCAAATCAAATTAATCGTTCTCAGACCAATCAAACCGGTCACTCCATGAACTTTTCTCCAAATTTTATCCTTGCACAGTGGCAGCACCACCTCAGTCATTAAACTCAAAACTATCTCCTCGAAGACCACAAAACCTTCGGATCATAAAACGAAAGCGCCTCAAACTCGCATTTCAACACCATCTTACAAATTACCACCACCTCCTTCTTCGCATACTCCTCTTCCCTTCTCACCTCCCCCTCATTTTGATCCCACGCAATAGACACAATCTCCGCACCATCTTTATCACATGATTTCACAGCAAGTATAAAATGATCTTCTTCAGTCCAGCTGCGACTGATATGGATATATGTGATTCCATTTTCATCAGCATCTTTAGGTGTAACTTCCCATCTGTGATCCATATCTGGTGCCTCGAAACCGGCTTTGAGTTTGTTGAGGTCGGAGGTGCTGATGTGGATGTTCCATGCTGATGTTGCTGGGTCGTTCATGTTTTGTGGAATTTGCTTAGGGGCTGTTAAATATGTGTCTTTGAATTTATATTGTGTTCTGGAGTTTTTGTACCTGGGTATTACTCAATCGAAAAGCTTGGTCTTAATGGTGTAAATCTGGTATTCTCTATTCCGTTGATGGGGTTAGTAGTTATATGGGAAAATACATGAGGACCTCCTTTATATAATCTGTATTAATGCGCTTATACTTAGCGCTTACTTTTGTTTTCGAGATTTATTAATGATTGTTCAGCTTTCTCGGCTCTTTCGGTGTTGCAAAAATGGGCTCGCTAAAGCTAAGCCCCTTAAGACCTCCGCTTATATTTGTACCGCGCAGCTTGTTAGATGCTCAAGTTTACAAAATCTGTTTACGAAGATAGCGATGCTGGACTTATCTAGAATCACCTGAGAAGGGTTTTGGGTAAACTATGAAACTCGTGTTTGGCTAGGAAAGGCTTGATTGCTTGGCTACAGTTGACGCCTATGGTTACGCCATTGCTTTGTTTTAGATTTTCATCATTGTAATTAATTGAGGGTTTCAATACAAGCATGTTTCAGTGTAGATTGATCGTGAGTAGATCTGTGTATACGCCTGTGTAGTCGGCTCTGAAGGTTCATGCTTTCGCAGAGTTTTGCTAACTCGACTACCTCATGATGAAATGAAAAAAAAACAGGAGATTGTCGGCAGATTTTAGCACTTTCCAACTTTCCAACTTTCCAACTTATGCTTGGTCACGTAAATCCACTTACTCTTAACTCTTTACGACCCCGCATTCTCCCACAGGCAATCCACGTCCTCTGTCGCGGTTGTGCCTGACTAGGAGCATTTCAAATAGCTCTTTAACATGAATCATTTTGCATTGATTGAAAGGAAGAGTTTTAGCATGGTAAAAGCATTGATTGATCTAAATCTATGGAGTTCGTGCAAAGGACTCGTCGAGTTCCATACAAGATAGATTTTCTCTTTCAAATAGTCGCCCACTACGTCCGACTCTGTGACTTCCTACCCCGCAAGTATTTATAGTATATACCAACCCCGAATTTTATTCTAGCCCACCAATTTCCCAATAAAGCAACGAAAGAGAATAATATGAAAAAAGAAGACTTCCAGTCCAAAGAAAATAACCCCCTTTACACCCCCCCCAAAATGACTCCCATTCCTAGGAAAAATTATTTATAAGAAGAAACCCTCAATCCCAAAGAAAAAAACACGAACGAACCAATGTCACCCATGTATCCTAAACCCCAGACTTTTCCTTGGACCTTTCTATATATCCAAAACAAAAACACCGCCCAGGTTTCACTTCCAGTCCAGTATTTGTGCATCGCCAGCCTTATTTAAGAATACTGTCGTACCTACCGTCATGATATTTAAAAGGATTTTCGTCAGAAGAGGATGGGGGTGAGGAGTGACGACTACCGTTAGAATCAAGAGAGCCACGAGAGTTACGTTGGGAGATAACTGCCGTGTTGTTTGGGGGAGCGTTAACAGAGGGGGCTCTAACATGAGCTGAGGAAGGCCTGGATGGATTGGGACTTCCACTATTGCGTTTGGTAGGGAGAGTATGATCCTGGCTTGTGGGCATACCGGTAGCGCTAGATTGACCGGCCATGGAGGCATTCATAAACGGCTGCTGGGGACGTGCTGGTCGTGGAGGAGCCCTGTTTGCTTGACGGTGAGGACTGGCTATCGGGCTGAAGCTACTGGATGCATGGTTGTGCGCCTCAGCACGTGCGTACTGAGTATCACTGGAGAAGCCATGAGGTGCCTGATCGCCATGGGTCAAATTAGATTGACTGGATACGCCCCCAGTATTACCTTGCGCAGAATCATTATGGCCGTACGCTTGTGGTTGAAATGCTCGGTTCCAGGGAACTGACCCGTCACTACCGTTCGTTCTAGGCTGCGATATCCTTTCCTTTGAAATCTTTTGGGGCTTTTCATCTTTTTTTCGAAACATATCCATGTTAAACAACCGAGTGATTTAGATTGATAGAAAGAAGAGATGTCTTTTCGGGATTTCAATGATGCCAACGAGTGAAGTATGATGAGCTCAAGAATATATATGTATAGAAATGTTTTTCCGCTTCTGCTTTACATTTTACATCCGAGGGGGTCTTGAAGCTTAAGTAGACAAATTTTGAGCTTCACAAGGTGTATTCAAGAAGCCTGGTTATATGAATAATCGAATAAATAGAACAAAATATACCATTTATAAAGATAAACAGAGTCACGAGGTGTCAATGAGTCCCGGCAATGAGTACTAACATCTTGACTCCAAGATATGTATTACTCACTATTGCTTCGAATTCACTGCAATGTAAACGTTCGATACTTCATTCTACTAAATGACACATCGTTGATATTCCACTCTAGATTGAATGACAAGCCATCCATTGTTCTAATCCAATTTGTATAACACATCGATATGGTCGAAATCACAAATAAACCATCAACTATTCCAATCCACCTTCGCCAATAGGTACACATATTGTTCGAGTTCTAACTGAACGACGAACAAGATAAAGGGCCGGCGATAGCATGTTCAGCCCTATCAATGATAGAACGTATGTATTGGGTCCATTATTTGCCAACGATTCGCCAAGACTTTGAGCGGTAATTCCAACAATGGAGTTGTCCATGATGAGAATTCATCTATGATTGAGACTATACCACAAAAGCCATAGGAAGTAACGAGGACAGAACAACCATATAGCTTGAAGATAATTGAGAGGGTGACTGATATTGAAAATGCTAGACATGGCTTCTTATGCGGTCTCGAGGCGGTTACTTCAAACCCACATCTAGCCCTAACGCGGGGTTACTACCCCACCTCCAACATAACCACAAATTATTTCCAGAGGTAAGCTAGGAATCTACTTCTATTATACACAGGACCACGATGTTTCGAGGTTTTGAAGTTGTCAATCAGCCGCCTCCATTTGAATGCTTTGAATCACCATTAAACGATTGAATGGAGATTTGGAGGCAACGACCCAGCGAAGAAACCCTGGTCGAGATGAATGGAGAGGTCAGTCGCATGTACAGAAGCATGTAACAATATGCCTTGCCCTACAGACTATACTGGCAGTTGAGTTTCATGAAAAGATGAAATATGTAGGCAACAGTCTGCCAATCGTTGTATGTATGTAAGTTGAATCACTGGAATCCAGAAGTTGATATGATAGAAACGCAATCGTTGCAAGAACCCACCATTACTTGTGCGAAGATTCAACAAACCGATATAGCCATTTACGGAATACGATAATAACTAGATGGAATAATGTTTGCGATGAGAAAATGCTTGGAGGATCACCGAAACATTTATCAAATGGAAAGTGCGATGGCAGATACGATCTTTGTTATTATCTTTTGGTTATTGTGGTGGAAACCTTTTTTTTGTGGTTGCAGAAAATTATTGGCCTGATCTTTAGATGGCTGAGGTACTATATAAATTTAAATGTAACATTTTACTTCGCCTTCGGGCATTGTAAGTATTTACCGATGCTTTCGCAATCAACATCTAAACTAACAATTTCAATAGTGGTCAATTTGAAACGATACAGAGAAGATTAGCATGGCCCCTGCACTAAGGATGACACGCTCAATCAAAGAGAAGCTACCAATTTTTTTGCATTTTTTTCGACTGATTTCATATCGCAAAGGATGGATAAATGGCGTTTATGTGTTTTGCTATTTCATTCTCTTGAGGGTCTCGAGATCTTTCTGGGTCTGATTGGGTAAGCGAATGAATTATGGATTTCTCAGCTCCGCAATTTTTGGAGTCAAAGCCTGGACCTTTTTGTGTATGATGCGTTTGTCAAATCCACGATGTAGATATTCAGATTCTACTTCAATCTTGTTCACTCTGCATTATACTTTGAATGACTTGGTGAGAATATATAACACTCATACTATACATCTGAATTTAAATTGAACATGGAACCTTGATATTTATCAACAGAAGTGCCTTAAAGACCCATAATATAAGACGCGCTTAAACGCGCCGACCCCGCGACTTGGCGCTTTAAATTAATATCAAATATTCTACAACCGTCCCATGAATAGTTAAATTTCTCACAATTATTATATACAAGTACAGAAGTTCCCTTTGTGTCTCTCAAAGTCATCTTTTCTGCAATAATGGATATCGACGAATTTCTCAACGATCCTTTCGAGGACGCATTACGACCTAGAAACGTCAATACACCCGAGGCAGACCTACAGGCTTTAACAAGAGTTTGGATTAATGAGCGTGGAGCTCCAGAGATTCTACCGTCGGTTCTAACCCATTTTCACCACCTTCGGCGACCTCGAGCGTCCTACGATATCCTTATTACAATCAGGACTGACATCTGCTGAGATAATAGATGGCCTCCCAATAATCTTGTCGAACGAGTGACGGAACGAATCAAAAAGCAAATCGAGAAGGTAGAAGAATTAACTGGAGATATGGATCCGAAGACCAATTTTGGTCTTATCTGTTTACAAACTGAGTTGGAGAGGTGGAAGTATCTAATCAGAGGATTAGTCAGAGCCAGAATCGCAAAGGTATGCCCAAAAACATGCACAACGTGGATGCGCATTTGCTTACTTGCATATTGTAGATTGACGCGCATACTTTACACTATCTGAGCAATGAAGACCTTCGATCGCGATTATCGGAAACCGAAATTGCGTATGCCACGAGACATCAACAATTACTACATAACCATTACTTGTCGAGTTTTCTGGGAAGTTTTCCGAGCACACTACAGAATTTGAATGATCAAGCTGGAGGTATTTCTATGATTAGTGGACCGGATGAAGATACAGCGGTATTCGCCAGAGGTACGGGAAGTTACGAAGAATTTACTGGTGATGGTGGTAGCATATCTGTTTTGGGAAGAGGGAGAGATGGTGATGATGTTAAAGATGTTGGTAGAGGGGAAGTTGTGATTGCGAGATGGTCGGATATCAAAGAGCATGTTGAGAGGGGAGAAATGGAATTGGTCTAAATGAAAGGTGCACTAACAACAGAACGCACCATGCACTGTGGTCCTCGCCATCAACAATGACGATAAACGACAATGCTGCCAATGATGTCGCTTGTGGTGTGATCTACCCACCCGAAGCTCCTCTCGTTTGGCGACTCCTTTACTGTTTTGTGTCGCTGAGAAATGTTTTCTACCAGATAGTACCATAGCTGGAGCCCTCGCTGGAATTTACATCTACCGCGAATACCACACCTTATGAAAAGGCCATAGGGTGTTACCTGGATATTCATCATTTTGTACCAGGAGAGACAAAAGAATATCAGAAAGATTCGACGAAGAAAGGCATTTAGCACCTTTTCTAAAATCACCTCACTCGGCAAATCTGTAGCTCGATCCTGAAGAGTATTCGGAGGACCTACTCGATCTAGAGCAGAATTTTATGGATTAACTCTTACTTATGAGCTGGGCAATAAAGCCGATTCCTGGGTATAGACTTCAGTAAAAAATTCGAAATAGTGGATAATGAGAGTTTTGGTTCACATATTTTGCTAGCGTTAAACCTGTGAGTGTTTGCACGCGAAAGATAGTTTCCTCAGTTATCCATGTTTCGTGATTATTTTGATGCATTCAAGCGCAAAGTGTATATACGCATTCAAGCTTTAGCAGTCCGGATTCAGAAGAAGAAGAAAAAGAAACGAAAAGCACATGAAACTTCCCTTAGATATCTAGCTTCTCCTACAGAGGGTTTTGATTTCCTGTATCTCATGTCATACAATTGGGTATCAGAAGGTGATTCTTACAAGAAAATCAGAAATTGCGAAATTGCCGGTACGAAATCCGAAGATGTCTGAATCTCCCTAAAGGTAAACAATCTTCCCAGTCTTCACATACCGAATACATGTCTGCAAAGGGCAAGAAATCTACACATCAATTCTCGACGATAGTAACAACTCACAAGGACTTCTCAACCCAGCCCTCGTCTCCTTCGGGTAGAAACAGGTCACATGATTCTGCATGATTCCCAGTAAAACATCAAGGAATGAATGCGTTACTGGCGTGATATCTGCATGCTTCATCCAGGAGACGAAGCTTTAGAGGCATTGATCACGTCGTCAATTGTTGCACAAATAAGTGAAGGGACCTCAGTATTAAACAAATCGGATATCACTAAATGTCTGGTTTCGAAGCCATGACTCGACCTCAGATCGGAGAATTGTGAGTTTTGGGAACCTAGCATGCTACAATCCGTGAGCATATTGAGGTTGTCATCCATCCAATGTAAATGAGAAACTCTCCACATTTCGGAGATCCTCGAAATGGATTGAGAGAGTAGCTCAATCGGCAACAAGCACAATGGATAACAACTAGAGTTCTCAACCTTATTGGTGGTTCTGGCCAATGATCCAACACAGTCATGACTGCGCCAAGCATTTCATCAATCGGTCGATGCTACCAACGCGCGACGGCCCATAGCGTTTTGACACTGATACGATAGTCAAGATCCATAAATTGAGGGAATTATTATAGCTTTATACATGAGCTTGAACCTTAAAAAGCCAGTTGAATACGCGTTTCGATTGCCCAATCATACCATCGAATGATCTCAGATTGTGGTATGATTGGGTGGGTCTGTTATCGTCATATTGTCAAGTCGGTAGTGGCTGTCAATTGATATTCATTTTGGCTGTTTTGAGGTATGAATGGAGTAAAGATTATCGATCTTTGTTAAGGCTTGAATGCTTCATGACATATCATCAAAGGTTTGGAATGCTTGGAATGGTCGCGTGTGACGTGTAGCTAGAGAATAAGAAAAGGAGGGGCAGAGAGAAGGAGAAGGTGACAGGGGTCAATTCCCCGCATTGTCCGATCCAAGTACTAATCCATAAAAGGAAAAGTAAATTGTCCTCCTCATAGCTACCCCGCATTTCAATCCAACACGTGAGGAATATGGTGATCTTTTGCTTGCTCGTACGACCCGACCTTGTTTTCAATACTTTATAACCTCTTCTTCCCCCTCATCATCCATTCAATCTGAATACCAAACGTTATCAAGTCAATCATCTTCTTCAACTTTTCATCAACAACTTCAACCACTTGAACAATTCAACGTCATCTCGTTTTGATATACCTCTTCAGTCGCAATCATGTCAACCGCAGAAATTCCTATCATCAAAGTGTTATTCACACTTCATGCTGGCATGGATGCTTTGGATTTCATCGGTCCCCTTGAAGTCCTTAGCCGTGCTCAGCATGATGTTAATGATCCAAGTAAGTTTGATTTATCTACTCGTATGATTGAATCTACTTGAGGTCGAGTGAACAACTCTTTGTTTGTTGTTTGTGTTTAATTTTGGCCATCATCGTTTGTTCAATTGCTAACCTTCAACTCTTTCATTACAGAATCCAAGGCATTCGATTGCAAGTTCGTTGCTGCCGAGGAATTCACCATCTCCAACCAAGGAGCTGCTTTCCGTGCTCACTTCAATTACAAAGATGCTTATGCCACTCTTTCACAATACGATATCCTCATCGTTCCAGGTGGTGGATCTGATCAAGTCCTCAAGAACAAAGCTGAGCCTCTTGGTCTCATCAGAGCTTTCTCTGATTTGCAGAAGAAACATCCGGAGAAGGAACGCACACTTTTATCCATCTGCACTGGTTCTCTCTTCCTTGCTCAACAAGGTATCCTTCACGGTCTTTCAGCTACCACCCACTCAGACTACTTCGCCAAATTTGAAAATATCAATAGTGAGGCTGCACAAAGAGACTTGGCAGAACGTTGTGACGTTGTTGAGGAAAGATATGTGGTGAATAATCTTCGATTTGATATTGATTCTCCAGAGGAGAGTCAATATGTTCGTCGCAAGTCTGATGCTAGACGTCCGTCCAATGCCCGTAAGGGTTCCAATGCTTGGAAGGAATCAAACAATCGTCGTGAAAGTAATGCTCGTAGAGCTGCTTTACGTCTTGGTGGTCTTCGCGTTATCACCACCGGAGCCATCACTTGTGGACTCGATGCTAGTTTGTATCTTGTCAGCGTCATGGTCAATGAAGAGACTGCTGGTGAGATTGCTAAGTTTATGGAGTATGAATGGAAGAAGGGCATTGTTGTTGATGGAATTGACATCTAAGGCGTTTGGAGTTGGAATGAAAGAATGTATTCTGCAATAAAGCATAGAATGCAATGGCTAGATAAATAGCTTCGGACGGTAATTGGGAACGGAATGGATGGACGGACGGATATGGGTTATGACGATATGATATTTCAATGGATAGTTAGCTTAGCTATACTTACAATCTCAACTTTTTTTGCTCTATATACTATGGTCTTAAAATGATGTCAGCGTAGTTTGCGTTTGACCCTGAGGCGAGATACCCTCCATCATAAAACCTTACTTTATACCGCCTATAATCCCCACTTCTTAAGTGTTGATGGCCAAGTCAGGCTTTTATATCACCACGCAATCATTTATATGGTATCGTCTGCATCGTCCATGATTGCGGGTTTAAGGAAACGAAGTCGCATAATCTCACTATACCAAATTGGATCCTTAACTCATATATATGTACCTACATAGCTGTCTCAACTTCGTACATAAACCTAATCTTCACTTCTTACTTTTACTTTTCTTCCTTCATCTGATATTTTACCTACCCACTCATTCCCATCTAGATATTCGACAGTACCATTTCATACGGGGAATGCTAGAACACGATTTCAATCGTAGCTATATACCTATTCATCCTTGCCGTGGACGGGTTGAAGAGTATCCCTCCCCTGTTCTGACTGGATACTTGTATTCGAATGACCATCTCCATCCCCTCTCGTTGATCTTTCTTACTCGAATTGGTGTGGTTGGAAATATGGAAGGGTGAGAAGGTTTTGGTTTCGTGGGTGGAAGGTGTTGTGAGATAGGTATGTGAAGTATGTGAAGGGTGTTTCATCTTGGAACGCGGAACTTGGAAGGGAAATCCGTTCGGATGATCGTAGTCGTTCTTCCCTCAATCGCTCACTCAGTCTTCCAATCTTGGGTTTTGGAGACCTACCAATCCCGGTATTTCTGATTTGTGTAGAATGTAATCGACATACTCATTTTTATTGTTGATTCGTCTCATCGTAGTTTGTTGTGCTTTGAATTTTCACCTTGATAGCGAGCATTGTTTTTTGAGTTGGTTAAAATATATTTGATTTTTTTCGTTTCATGTGCTTTTAATCTTTTTCTAATTTTTTTCTTTTTCTTTTTTCTTTTTTGAACTTTTGAATTATCTATTACATTATGTTAATTGAGGATGAATAATGAGAGATTTTCTTGGGTATATATTGATGACACTCATAACTCTCAAGGCTTCCAAAACTCCTATAACTTCCATAACTCTTTTGATTCCCACAACTCCCAGATCTCCCTGAACTCCCTGAACCCCCAAACTCTGCAAAATTCAAAAAAAAAAACTAAAAAACTTTCTAATATCAAAGCTCAGTCCACTCCTTATCCAAATCACTATCTTTCCCCTCAACCTCAGCCGCGTCCTCGAGTTCATGCGTGATATCTTCCATGCCTTCATCTTTCCCTTGCTCGATATCTTTCATTTCGGCATTCCTTTCTTGATCGAGGGAGTTCTGCGTAGCATATTCAACAGCCTTCGAAAGAGGATGATTTTTCTCTTGAATCGGCGTCTCAATTTCGGCCGATGTATGTGTTTCTTGTTTCTTATGGCCACCCATATCTCCTTCGACTTCTTCGTCGACTCTTGTCTCTATAGGCTCAACTTCTGTTTGCGAAGAGCGCTCTAATCTAGAAGCTGTATTTGTGACTCCCACCTCCATCTCATCTTCGGCTTCTTGGCTTGCTATCAATTCTTCCTCGGTAATCTCTCCTTGGCCCAATCTCTTTTCCCACCACTCATCAATCTCCCTCATCTCCTGTTCTCTTTTCAATTCTTTTTTGAGTTCAATCTTGATCTCCTCTTTGAAATCCCATTCTCTACTTTGCCTATTATCATCGATCCTTTGAAACTCCTCGGTCCAATATTGCTCGACGGTCAGTGCATCTGCCCTAAGCTCCTCGAGGTTATCTTTTGCTGTTTCCTGAATTTTACTGACTTCCTTTCTCAAGATGTGATACACTTCACTGATCTCTTCATCAACACCATCGAATCTCTCGAGCTCCTCCTTTATCTCTTTTCCTTCGCGTGTCAATTTTTCAATCCACACCCCGATTGCGTCGTGACTACTATCATTCTCATCTAATCTCTCCAAAACCTCCTCCATCTTTGCCTCTTGGGTCATGATTCTCGTTGCCAAGATATCGGCTTGTCTCTGGCCATCCTCCTCCATCGTCTGTACCCTTTTACGTTTATTCTTAGCTTCTGCGTCTTGAACTGTCAACCTCGCTCGCAAGACACCAACTTGTGCCTGAAGCGACTCCATAACTTGCTCGATACGGTTTACTCGTTCTTGCTCCTTCTTTAATGCGGTTTTGGTATTGACAAGTTCCACGCGTGTTTTCACATGTTCGTCGAAATTGGAGGGTTCGTCCGTTTCTCTCACTTCCTCAGAGGATTGTTCGATTTTTGTGGATCTCGCTTCTTTAGTGTCGTGCGTCTCGCTTTCCACTTTGGTAAGTTTGGTTGAACTGGTCGATTTGGTCACTTTGGTAGTTTTTGATTTCTCTTCTGTCGTCTCTTTTGTCTTCGCCTTCAACGCGTCTTCGTGTTTGCTTCTGTCGCCTAGCTCATCCCTGATTCTCAATGCAAATGACATGAAACTCATACTGAATGTAAATGAGAAAAATAAGATAGCCCAAAATTGATGACGACCTTGGTGCCATAATAATTCTTTGTCAGTGAGAGAAGAGGATGGAGAGTTGTGTAGAGGATTTAGAGGACTGAAATATATGAAGAGGGTAAAGCCAGTAGCCTGAGCGACGGCGCTGGCTATTGCGGCGGTGATGTTTGTTGATCTACCCATGGTGATAGTCTTGGGTGTTGAATCTATTGGAGATGAGAATGATATGATGTGGATGGACTTCTGATGTAAAATCTGAAGTCTTGAAGTTGGTAATGGTATGAGGCAGAGAAGCCAATATGAAGTAATGACAGTGATGTTCCTGAGTTGAGTAATGATCGTTAAAAAGAAAGAAAGAAAGAAAAAATCTTTCAGATTGAGGAAAATTTCAAGTATATATATGTGTGGTTTTCCAACAGAACCCTAGTGTTAAAGCCGTTGACACTTGATTAGACATTTGACAGCTCTAGCTTCAACGTAAACTCGATTGGGGGGGAGATCACCCCTCAGTAATACAAAAATGGAATTTAAGAGTTAATCAGCGAGAGAAATTTCCATCTAGTGGTATGTCGAACGATGAAATATCGGAAGATAGTTGCACTATAAACTATTCAATGCTCTGATTAGGTATAGTTTATGAAAAAGATCGACGGACGTTGAGGAGTGCTGTCATATTCCATAATTTTCAACGGTTTGGCGCGGTGGATTAAGCTTTATTTGGTTAATTGATACTAATGGATGACAAGTCTCAATAACTTCCAAGGTCAAATATCACGTCATAGAAATCGAAACATCATTCAGACGGGCGGGCGTAAAGAGGGCGCCGTTGTCATCATAGTATGAAGTGAAGGTATACAGATCTCACAAAAGTCGCATCTGCTACATGAATCTCCATCATCAAACTTGCAAGCTAAGTATACATTTTGAGGTCATTGAATCATTCGAACTGTCTTCGTGTGCCCGGGAAACTTCTTTTGAGTGCTGTCTTATTTGTGAACAGCGTGAATATAGAAAAGGAGAATCACTTCAATGACGTATCTTAGCAGCTAGAAAAACTTAACAAACAAGAAGTGGTGATCCCAAGCTAAGATGAAGCGCAATTCAGCTGATCACACATACTAAACGAATAAAGTGACGAAAAGAAGGGGTAAAGCATTTCCTCACATATCACCTTCGTTAAGGTTCATTGTCAAACACGCAGAACATAATCCAGTTTTGTAATCGACCCTCGAAGTATGAAAAGTTTCCGTACTGCAGGTAAATAGTTTGAAAAGCTTCGCTGCTAGTAGTCTTCTGTAATTCGAGTCATGTATCTTGCGATATTTCCAAATGATGTAAAATTGTCAGAAATGACCAGATATATTCAATGGTGCTAATGCGCAATATTACATGGGTTTTCCATTTCACCTTGTCTAGATACCTACGTAAGTAAGTGGCAGCTCGTGCAGAAGGAATGACGCATAGGAAATTGAAATAGGAAGGAACAGGATGACAAGGTTGAAATGAATAATTTGGTAGGTCTGAGTTTGATTTCTGACTGATTACTTTTGGCATACCTAGCTTTGAAGCCTCTACTTTTGACTCTCATCCAAATCGCCAGTTCATTATATAACTTCTGCCTCGACGACTCACCATCGAGGAAAATACTTGACCACTGTGGCAGTATATTTCTTTCCGTCGAATTACATTCTAGTCACCAAGACATTTCATCTTGAGCGAATCAATGCCGTACGGTATGGCGATTATGATATCAACTTCGCCGGGATCCCTGCGGAATTCGATAAAGAAGAACAATTAAGTTACGCCCGTCGTGAAGCGGACACGTGGAAACTGCCATTTATCGCTGCATGAAAAAGCCGGCTCCAAGGACCGGACGAACTAAAGTTTTTCTCACCTGGGATCTGGATCCATGGTTAATGCTGTTTTTCGAATAATCATGATCCAGTCTTTACATTCGCTTCCTGAAGAAACCAAAGCCATAGCCATGTTCTGCTCTCAAATTCCTACGTCAAATCATTTCCTGACAAAAATTACCTTGCCGCGTTAGGGTTTCAAACATCACTCTAAGATGCTTCGGTAGTTTGGGTCCGCCGATGCCAAAAAGGGCCCTCAGTGAACAGATGAAGCTCGATGTTCTCGATTATAGAATCGTTAACAAATGGAATGGGTTGAATTAATTTCTGCGACAAAATAACAGCGCGTTATACACGGCTTGTTCGAATTGTAATAAATTAGTTCGAAGGAGAAGGTCAAGGGTAAGACACTACAAGTTCAACATCAAAGACCAACTGTCGAAGCTAGTAGTGAGACGAAGCGTTTTCTAAGAAGTTCGGAACAATACGTGGGTTGAGATTCTAGCTGAATTAGGAAGCCGGCCCTCTTGGATACAAAGTCTTGAATACTGAACGCAGCAGAACTTCTGTGGAAATACTGGTAGTGCGTTTTAAAATCCAAAAGAACTCAAACCATTATCGTAGTCTCTAACCAAGCAGTAATTCCACAGGAACGTTCCAAATATCTGAGCTCCGGCTCGAGCTAAACACCTTGCTTCCGTGAACCAATGATAGGAAGATAATACACAGCCACCCACGAAATCTGATTGTGCATTAAGTCTGAGAGAGGGGAATGATAGCGAGCCGATCAACGATGTAGAGAGGATGTATCTTTCGGATTCTACAGAAATTGTTCTACATATGACAAGGATTAGAAGAGTCCTTGTTTCAAATTCTCCTATATCGTACAGTCTGAGTAATTTGGATAGACTTAGTTGGAGTTTCCCCTTCTCAATCTGCATGAAACAATCGCCGGTGAACAGATCTGGGTGCCCCAGTTGATATCTGATAGGAAAACTCTGAGAAAGAGAATAATTGTGTTCTTCAGTTCGCTAACACCCCCTGCTTAGGTGTTCTGGTTTCAGAGCCGTGTACCACCAGTGCGTGAGCTACACGTCTATTCCATCAACTATATCCATAATTAAGTGTTGGAGAATAATTTTAATAAACCATTTCATTCATTAATATCTCATTAAAGAACCCAAACCAATCCATCCGGCCGACTCCGTATCCCCAAAGAGCTATCTCCCCATTTCTTTCCAACCATTTTTCACCCAACACCATCTAATCTAATGACCTCCTGTAGTAGGTAAGCCCAAAGCAACCTTAAAACTATCATAAATCAACCATTGGAATGCTGTTAATGTTCCAATCATTACAATTCTAACAGGCAGACCATTCCAAAGACCTCGAAATCCAATGTTTCCGTAAATCCTCGTCATAGCCTTTCCAGCTCCTTCTCCAGCTTTTCTATCACTGTTAAGTTTCGAGACCATAACATCTGCTGGATGAGAGATAACAGCGCAACCAATACCAGCAATATAACCACCGAGGAAAGAAACTCCGGTTTGCTGGAGACCGGAATAAGAGGATTTCGGCTTCCCCAAGTAAGCGTAGATTTTGTTGACGGTGGTTTCGAAGGTTGCGAATTTCACCATTGTGTAGGGGATTTGTCGACCCCAGAGAGGATAGAGTCCCTTGTAGAGTCTATTTAAGGAGCAATTAGCATACGTTTCCAAATCGCAAGAGATCTCTTGGAAGAGGAGACCAAACTTACCCTCCGTATCCCTCCTCTTTAATAACCTTTGACATTCCCTCTCTCAAACTGTTTGCAAAAGGCGGCAACGTAGTTTGCATCCTGACTTTGATAGCCTCAAAAGGGCAAAGTGCCATGTCGGCCAAAAACTCCGCACTAGCACTGGCACCCAAGAAAATCGCCGTTTGATTCGCATTTGGGAATAATTTCTCGCCATATAAATATTTGAATACTTCATAGAAACCGTATTTTCCACCACCCTGGAAACAGTATCCGACAAATGTGGGAGACCATCCGAAGAAGACTCCGCGAAGACCTTCGGCACGGTAGATTTTAGACCAGGCATTAAGGTTGGAAGTATAGAGTTTGGAGTCGACTTGACGACGGCATTTTACAAGATCGAGTGGAGTGACGGCGGTATGAGTTGGGCCACAGGCTGAGAGGAAGAGATTGTTAGCTGCGGAAGATCGGGAAGAGGTATTGGGGGGGGGTAAATAAGAGGGGTCATACCAATTATCCCACCAAGTCCACAAGCTGCAAAGTATTTTCCACTGTATAGCTCGATCTTGGGTTGCGGAAGAGCTTTTTCGAGAGAAGGCATTTTGACAGAGATCAATTGGTTGGTTTGGGGAGAATTGGTTATTGCTTGGTGATGTTTGTGTAGGTATTGAATGGAATTCCTTATCGCAGCCGCCTTTTGACTTGTGAATTGACAATAACCTCACAATCGTAAGAAGTCTGTGTATTAATGAAGTATGGAAGACCGGATGAGAGCAAGAGCAAAGTATTAAACACAAATTCTTGTGAGCAGAAACTTGGAAAAAGCACAATAAATTAGTGGTTCTTCAAAGTTATTTTGGTAGTAGGACGTCAAGTCAAAGGGTGGTGCCGATGTTCCTTGATAAGCTTCGTCCTTATGTTGTTCCCGAAATTCTAGCCCAATCTACAGGGGTAGCTATCAATGATATGTTACGTCATTTCAGGATAGAGCGGATGTCGGAGTTAACTCGCCGTTGGCATTGGATTATTGTGCATATACGAATGGGAAATTCGGGAACGTAGGACGGTAAGGCGATGGATTGTAGATGTTTGAAACTGTATTCGAGTAATATCTAACAAACGTGTAGAAGAATCGAGGTTTCGACCTACTATGGATGATCAGGAATGGTAGTGATGGAAGATGGCGGGGGAAATGATCTACGATCACGTGTATGCTGCTTCCGGCTTGGCCGGTCCGAGCTTGTACTTTATTTTGGGAGGGTTTTCAAGCTTCACTTCACTTCACTTGATGTCAATTCGTATCTCAGATATACGCTGGTACCAACGTTGCGAAAACAGAAACTATGAACGTAAGGCATGTATATCAACGAAAGTCTCAAAAGTTAGAATGGTATTTTTCATGGTTGGCTGACAAGCATTTAGCTGTCTGCCTGTCTAGCTATCAATCTGTCTTTGCTCCACGACTCGGAGACTACAGGAAGACTTCCTCCCAGCGTATTTGCTACCTACTACCCGAAATATGATTTTTAAACACTGCTCACACACAATGTTCCCTTTTCCTTATTCCACTTTGTTTGCTTTCTCTGTAGAGGTTGCTAGTTTACCCGCCGCAATCTCTGAAAACAAGGCTGGCCTTCTCCATGTTCATGAACCCGGTATCCTGGATTGAATATCTGCTTTCTGAAAGCTGTTTCCTCACGTTGGGTCCTGATCATTTTGAAAACCTCACGTCTCAAGTCGTCGTGGCATGTGAGAAACGAGTCAATACCATCGCGGTATACTTTGTGATAAGGTGCTATATTTCTAAAAGATGTTTTCAAGTGGCTTTGTCAAGGGATTGGAAGGTAGAGCATTCTTTCCAGAAGACGATCCAAAATGTTTTGATTTTTTCATGGGTTGGATATATTTTGGTACTCTGCGAGTCCTTAATGCTTCTACCGCATTAGATAAGATTCAGTATGACCTGAATCCACTATCGTTGTATAGTTTCGCAGATAAGCTATGCCTGCCTGAGCTCATGGATCTTGCTCTCAATACATACAAAAATACATATGAGAAGTCTAACAGATTCCCCAGGGTAAGTTTGGTCAGCGATGTATACCAACTGACACCAAAAGACTCTCCTTTACAAAAGTTTATGTGTCACTGCATGTATTACATTTTCGTTGAATACACCTCTGAAGATATTCGAAACTTTTGGACAACTGAGGACATAGCAATGGCCATGAGCCTCCACAAGGATTTACCTATCGACTTTCTCAATCTGATGAGATCAGATTCTCCAGGTTTTCCTCCTACAGATCCAAGAGCGCTCCCAAACAGCGATTTTCACTGCCATGGAGAGGACGAGCCTTGCTCTCAAAGACCAAACTAAATGTTTTACAATTACAAGAGTCTTGTGGGATTAGCTACGTATCAAGTCTGCGATTCATTACCAATGAGTGTTTGTGACTTTACGCGGACGACTCAAATACTACAAAGCTAGTTGAGGATACCGGTCAAGATGGGTATCTCCTGATGAGGGAAATACTTTCATTCATGATCAGTTCAGCCTTTCATTTCCATCTTAAATCATGGGCATATACTGTCCAACAACTCGAAGCCTTGGGAGATGCCAATGGGCCGGATGATGCAATCCTATACGAGAGTAGATCAATGGTATCTATTCTATGCTAGTCGGGTACATATAAGCTAGACAGGCAGGAAGTATCGGGCATAGGGGAACTACTATGAATGTCGATTAAGAATTAGTCCTTACCTGGCATGGGCCTATCTTTCACCAGAGATAATATGCAAGCGAGATTTTTCTCTTAAATATCACTTTATCATGACAATTATTCGTGTCGCAACTGCTATGAGTGATGATTTCTTTCTCCATGGAAAATTCATATTTTTTTTTCATGGGAAGCTGTCACCTGTAGTTCCTCCATTCTATACGTCGTATTCGAATGAATGGTTGGTTTCATTAAGTGATGGAGAGAGCCAAGCATTTAGCGAGGATTGAAATTTAGGGGAGTGAATAAGTGGGGCACCGAAAATGACAACATTCATAGTAGTAGCACAATCACGACTATCTAGTAATTGTATTGTTCTGTCTGGACAAGTTAATGCTGAATAGTATCTACAAAATGTCAGATTCGCATGATCAACACATATATATAAATGATGAGTATCTACCAATAGCTATTCCAATCAAATCAAATACACACTCATCAACACTCTCTACCGAAACACCAAGAACTCCAAAGAAAGAAAAAACAAATGTCTACAGAATCTCCGGCCCCAGAATTCCTTTACGGATTTAAATTCTGCCCCCACAAAATAGCCCATGGTCATAGCTGTGGTATCTACCACTCAGGTCTCGGCTCAGGCAATAGAAGCACATGCGCGTGTCCACCGGGTCATGTAAAACTCAATAGAGAGGTTAGAGATTTGTTTCCGAAACATCTTTGTCCGGATTGTGAAAAGGAGTATCGTCGAATTCATCCGGGGATTTGTGCACGCATGACGCCAAGGTGGATTTTGGAGAGGAAGGGGAAGGGGAAGGGGAAGGGGAAGGGGAAGGGGAAGGGGAGGGAGAGGGGCTATGAGCGGATTTGAGGATGTAGGGTTTGATAGGAGGAAGTTGATTATGGACTTGGGAAATGGTGGTATTGGAGAGAGGATTAAGGGGTAATTGAATAATAATACCAAGGTTTGGGAGAATATTCTATATCTTTAACACATATTACTTGAGCTGCAGAAGTTAATGCAGGCCTGCAACTACATAACCTTCAATGTCCTTCAATTCTCACTACACTAGTATATTAATGCGCATCATCAATCCATCAACCGATTCTCGTTCACGAGTGAATAATTACCCCCCCCCCCCCCCCCACAAAACCCACGAAACCACCACATCCGAACTTCCAACCTCGAACCCCCGTCCAAAAATCCCAACACCCCCATCCATACCAACCCAAAAGCAAAAAGAGATACCAAAAACATAATCCGACTTCATGGAAGAACGAATCACGACTGCCCGATGAAAAACCAAACCCAAGGATCCATTGAGAACTTGGAATGCAGAATGCGCAAAGGAAAGAGGCCAGCACGTCCAAGAGCTCCAGATCTGTTTTATGGAGGAGGTGGTGGGATTGAAGTATTTATTTGGAGGATTTTAGAGGGTTGAGCTTGGTGGATGGGGTATGGGTTGGTATTAGGACACCTGGTGAGTGAATTTCTCGTTGGAGGTTTCCCTGTTATTTTGATTTGGGCATGATGTGTGGAGGGCGCGGAGGTTATATTGGTGCGCGCGTTAGGATCTTTCTTTTTTCGTATTTCATATACACTCATTACCGATATCATGAAATTCGAAATAAAATACCCAAAAGATATGTGCAACAGCATTCTGCACATGTTTATTCGGCAGCAGTCGAGAATGAATCATCGTCTGCTATATTACGGGAAGGCTTACGTTACTATACAGCTACCTCAGAAGCAGAAGAGGTTTGAGGGGAATCTCGAAATTATTGTGTACTTCGTTTGGCTATGCGACTACAAGAAAATGTGTAGCTTTGAGAATGATATTTCATATGGTAATTTGGGAGACGAAATGGTGAGGATCAATATGTGTTCGTGAGATACGCCGAGCAAAAGAAGGTTATTTGTGGATTGATAATGAGAGTAAAGATACAGATAAGCATCTTAGAGACCTCTTTGAAAAGGAAAAGTAAGGAAAAAGGTTAGGTAGGGTGGCGCAAGAGAGCAAAAACCACCTGGTATCAGTTAAACCTCTTCAATTCGAGATAGATAATGCTCGATCCAGTCAAAAGACTCGTGCACTGATTCAAAAAAATGTGAATGATGCGAGAGTTGGTATCATGATCGAGTCATTTCCGTAGAAACGATAAGAAGTTCCGGTTTACCTAAGTTACAATTCATGCCAGTCTACTTTTCTCTACTCCTTTTTAACAACATCACATCTCAATAACTCCGCAGCTCAATAAAGACACAGAACATCAACCATAACCTACAACAATGTGTACTCAGTGCGGTTTTGAATGCAACAATTGCGGAAAAACAAGACTTGCCGATATAAGAGAAATCAAACCTTGTGGGGATAGACTTGAGATTTGGGACTGAAGGTATTGGAAGAATTTGAGTAACAAAGGTATGCATGTTGCGATTTCATCTATTATGCTTATTGATTTTGGTTCTGATTAGTATCGGAGGCAGGTTTACGAACTCGGATCACAATTTTTCGCAAACCTCAACTCTGCAACGATTTTGATGAATATTTTTAACCCTATTCCGTTTTGTCCACCTACATCCAGTAGTTAACTTCTCATTATCGTCTATCATTTGAATATTCGGGTCTCAACACCGTCAAACCTCTCAGAATAGGCACTACAGTCATCGTTTGCCCATCCCTCTGTTTCCCTATTTGATTTTGGTAATGAATGTTCATATCTCAGCCGGACCGAGAGTTAATATGTTGGGGTAGAGGATGCACAATCATTTGTCAATTACAACACCTCTTCTTAGCTGGACTGAGACAAAGCATGGTGTTCGAGCTTCAAGGGCCGAGAGCCGAGAAGGCAGAGTTACCAGAGTCTTTTCTTTTCTTTCATTAGAGTCGAAATTCTATTTGTAATCAATGACAGGTCGGTCATTCCTAGAATTTACCTGTCCGCTCTGAACTAAATAATGACTAGATAGCAAAATATGAGATTCATAACAATTACTCATACAGCTATGCAAACTTGTGGATGTTTGTTTGAATCTGCTGTAGAAAGTGATTCATCCTAGCTAGCTTTGGTTCGGTTATCTTCCAGCTGCTTCTGCTTCCTCAATATCTCGAGATCTAAAACACGAGCGGCAGTGTCAAAAATACATGATGAGTATAGATTGCATGCTGATGACAAACTTCCCTCGATTACTGGGCCGAAATTGTAAGGTGACAATTTATGAGAGGGGTTTCCAAGCTGTTGCAAAGATTTTAAGTTTACAATCCAAGTATCTTTTTTTCTAGAGGGGGTGACACCAAAGAAGATTATAAGAGGCTTTCGAAATTGTGATTCAGGGGGCTTCGTTTAAATGCCGTCCTTTGAACATGAAATCAATGAATATGACTGTAACTTTACAGAAATAAATAACATGTTCCATACCGTCAAGTCATGACTAGCTAATTAACGTGTATGATTGTGAAGAATAATTGAATCATAGTCTGGCAATGCATTTAAGAGAACCATTCATCATTATATTCTTCCCTTTGTAACAAGGCGCACTACAATATTACCTTCCACAGAATATGAACAACCCACAAACGTTCAATATCATCAACCCTAATCGTGGTTCACGCCAAATTTATTATGAAAGAGTAGACTCGCGTTCAATTTGGCGAAGGTGTCTACAATATCGTCCCTGTGTCAAGGATTTGAAAGTCTTGAATCCGTTTCGTGATAAAATACGTCAAATGCCACGTTTTCTACGAAAGTTGCGTTGTCGTAGCCCTGGTGGTGTTCGTAGCAAACAGGGATCGTTGTTCAGGTATGTAATTATCAACCAACATACGTTCTCAAATTCATTGCGGTAGCATATTCGTTTTGAGGACAAGAAGCAAGACTGACCTTTCCAATTAGTGCCACCAGGAAGAGTTCTCAAGTTCCTACATCCATTAAGGCCGCGCCGACATCAAGCGCTGAAGAACAAGTCCTCGCACCGAACCCAGTCTTACCTATGCAGCTCACTCGTAAGATTCTCGATTCGGCTGCACCAAAGGTGTGTACCGAGACCTCGAAACATAAGACAATAGTTGGCGAGCCTGCAACAGGAAGAGTCCCGTCTCCGGTATATAACGCGAACTATGGCCCACATCAACCATATACACCATCGAACCCAAACCACGAAATTGGTATGGCTTTAACCACATCACAAACAATATTAAACTATTCAAGCTCTCAGCAGGATACTCGAAACGACAACGTCCAGAAGAGAAGCGACAGAGAAAACCGTGGTAGTGTCAGATCTAACGGTACGTCCTCTTGGGGGATTTTGCAGATTGACAAGGAAGCAAAAGGCACCGAACTTGTAGACATATCTACACTGGCGCCAGCATATCTTCAGCCGAAAATGAAACTCGTTGCCCACAAGATTCCAGTAGATGAAGTCGAGCATCATTCTTTGTCACAGTCAGCTTCAACAAAGAACTTGGTTCACCTATTGGAGGTTGAGGCTTCTCGACAGGAGCAGGTAAAGGAAGAGATGGAAAAGATAACATATCACAATGTAAATTTACGAGAACCTAGAACACCAAGGGATTCTAGAAGATGTGGACAAGTTTGGAATAGTGAGGAAACGAGGAAGAGTTTCCTTGCGATAGAAGCTCTGGATGCACTCGCTTTAGAATTGAGACTCACTTGAGTCATTTCATATTTTATAAGTAAACAAATTTGTACATTGAATTATTAGAATGTTTGAGGATTGCCTTGAATGTTCATTATTTCTATGCTGATAACATGAAATTGTTGCTTCATCATATTTGATTCCTTAGAGGTATATTCGATCTCGTGACTAATTGCAATAATTCTAACGAGATGATAAGGACATCACTGGAACTGTTGTATTGAATCCCTAGACAGTATGTGCTTTGGTTCGTACCATTCGAAAATCCAGAGAATCATTAATACGGCGACGCCGACGACGATGTAAGTCATTGATGGCTAGTGAAAGACAAAATCAAATCTGTCCTCAGCCACTTTTACAAGGGTCTAGACTTTGTTAGGCAAGCTTCGGGCACAGCACAGCTTAGGGCCGCCGCTTCTAATCGCGACGATTGTCTTCTTTCCACTCTTTCAAATTTATTTCTTGGGATCTGTCAATTTCTTTAAAGAGTGCAACATAAAGTCCAGAAAGAGACCAACAACTCTTGTCTACTTATTAATATCTCTTCAAAGTATCATTTGGTCGCATTCAATTACGATCTCCTAAACAATCTCCATCATTTCATACCGGTTCCTATTTCCAAATAAGACAAAATGGCTATCAGTCCTCAAGTGTATGAACAACCTTCCCGAAACTCCGTCTCGTTGTTTCTCTTGAGATTGTTACTGATGATTTAAATAGAACCAACTTGATCATCATCCTTGGGATGATGCAAGTCTCTAAACGTGTTCCTCTCGAGGATCCCAACGTTTTGAACCTTGTCCGTGGGATTTACATTCTATCAAACGTCATCATCGCAGGCGTTTACGCTTATACTCAATTTTTGATCAACAAGAAGAAGGGTATGTCGCCTCACTCATTGCGCATAATTATATGCATACTAATAGCTGTTGACATAGATATGACTACTCTCAAATACGTCGAGCAACCTCAAATGGGTTCCGCCGAAGAACCCAAGCTCGTTACCACCACCGTCCACAAATATGATAGCGATCAAATGAAGGCTCTCTACAAGGCACAACTGATGGGTGTTGGAATGATGGCTGTCATGCACTTGTACTTCAAATACACCAACCCTCTCATGATCCAATCTATTATTCCACTTAAGGGCGCATTCGAGGGTAACATGGTTAAGATTCATCTTTTCGGACAGCCAGCTACTGGAGACATGAAGAGACCATTCAAGGCACCAGCTGGTTTGATGAGCAGTCTTCAAGGAGGAGGAGCTTCCCCAGCACAAGATAAGAAGTCTATTGAAGCTGCTGAGAAGGCAGGTCGTGGAGGTGTTAAGGACGAATAGATGCTCAAACATCAGACATACACGATGTAATGTTTTCAAAGACTGGGGATCAGGGAACTGGGGATTAGACTTCAAGTCTAGGGGCATGGGGCGGAAAAACTGGGGGATGGATCGGGCAAGAGATTTTTATCTCGTTTGTATCATAGAGACAAGTAGATGGAAACTACCCTTCAATGCCATCGATACTTTCTACTTTATACTCTATTAATACATTTTTTCATTATTGTCCATTGAGTTCCTAAAGCTATTTTTTTGTGGTTCAATACATTCACCTTGTGGTCTGAAGGTATGAATGACGAATCTAACTTTAGCGCACCCGAAGAACACCGAGGCTGAACATTTTAAACTTGTCGCCACTTCCATATTTCAGCCTTGCTACAAATTTACTTTATTAAATACATGGAACTTCAAGAATTTCATCATTGCCATATTTTATACAGTTTGACGTTATGGAAAGATCGAATACCCCCCCGCCTGCCAGAAGAACTAGATCTCAAGTTACATCACCGCCGACACCCGATGTTAAAAGGAGAATAGTCAGTTGAAGGCAACCGTTCAGACAATTTGACCCCTCATTTACTAAGTTATTTCATTAGGAAGAAAGCAGACTCAAAGCTAAAGCGCTCCGCGAACAATCTATAGCTCGTGAGAAAGCATCCTCCGCAAATGATACCGATCGCACTCCCTCAGGTTTTATTGCTACTCCCGATATAACTCTCGCCGGTCAAAAACGCACTCATTCCTCTATTTCAACCTCATCAATTCCCGCTACTTCTCGCGATGCGCGACAAAGCGGCAAAGATGCGCGAGCCGACGATTCCTCACTGCAAGCTGCGCGGAAGTTTCGGAAATACGTTGATCATGACTTCAGTAAGATGACGGATACGAAAGGTGGATTCTTAGCTGAAGAAGATGATCCATGGAATAAGGCATTGCATGCATCGAAAGAAGGAGAGAAACCTGCTCACATGACACTGAAGGAATGGGAAAGACATCAGCTATTAAAAGGGTTGCGGAATAGGAAAGAGGGGCCCTTTGAACCCGGCTTGAGTGTACTTGGAGGAGACAACAAGAAATGTAGGGAATGTAAAAGTTTAGAGATTGATTTTGTGTGGGATGAAGTTTTCAAGTGTAGGGTTTGTAACGGGTGTAAGGAGAAGTTTCCGGAGAAATATAGTTTGTTGACTAAAACGGAGGCAAAGGAGGATTATCTTATTACAGATCGTAAGTTTCATAGCTTCTGCATGATAACGGGCTTGTACTAATGTATTCTGTAGCGGAATTAAAAGATGGAGAGCTACTACCACATCTCAATAAGCCCAATCCGCATAAATCACATTGGCATGATATGATGTTGTTCCTACGATATCAAGTGGAGGAATATGCATTTAAGACGAAGTGGGGGAGTGCAGAAGCATTAGATGCAGAATTCGAGAAGAGAGAAGCAGAAAAGAAGAAGAGGAAAGAAGAAAAATTCAAGAGTAAATTGAAAGAATTAAAGAAGAAGACGAGAACCGAAGCATATAGGAGAGGTTTAGCGGGTGATGGAAAAGGTGGAAAGTTTGGAGATGCGATTAGTAATGGGAAACATGAACATGAATGGGGTCAAACGGTGGAGAATGAAGATGGAATGAGTGTGAAGAGTTGTATAGAATGCGGGATGGAGGTTGAGGAATTGGAATTTTAAGGAAGGAATTGGGTATTGATATGGATATGGGCACGGTTATGGCATCGATATATTGGGTTACATCTTCATGAGACTTGAGAACACGATGGAACGGACTTGGAGTTTGCAAGTCATATTTACGATCATCATGTTCAAGACTGGAAAGGCTGGCTGGAGTTTGTTAAAGGATATCTACGAGTCCTTCAGCGATAACCATACTTAAACACTTGCTTTTTATATGACAGGGATGCACATACACATTCCTTTTTTCCTCTTATGCAAGCCTCCAACCCCCCCAGCTCGCTGCACTCGTGTTAGAACACCGATATCAAAGTTATCCTTATGAAACGCGTTAGATGAGCCTGTGCATTGTCTGATATCAACATGGTCATTAGGGCTGATACAACACCAATAGCGGGTATCAGAATGTTTTCTCTTGTTGCTACAAATTGAAGTATCGTATTGTGTTGATTTTCAAATGGTGACTCGATAGATCTCTAAGTGTGAGCAACAAGATACAGTGACAACTTACCTATGATTCTCATAGATATCCATCGATAGATCAACACGAAGGCCAAAATAATGTCCATCCCAATCTTAAGGTTCGAGGGGTCTCTTTTAGATTGTATCTATCCGCAGACCCCAAAACTCAAATACCACGGAGCTATGACCACTTTAAGTTAAAGGCGGCGTCACCCACACCCCCAAGACAACAATACCCCAGGCAAAGCATTTATTATGGCCTTAAAAGCGGCCTGACACATGGATTTTGGCTTAGAATTGGATAGTTGGCTTGGTTGGTAGCTCACGATCTCTATTTGGAAAGAAACGCCCTCCTTCAGACTTCCCTTCTTACGATTTCGAATGTCATACGTTTCACTTACGCGACAAACTTGTACAGACGCATCATAAAAGTTTTACGCATTTACAAATCTCATACTATTGACCTCTATTGTCCTTTGATTATCTTAGACAGTTCTGTGCGCAAAGATGTTCAATTGAGCATTGGTAGTTTACTGGAGAAAAATTAAGGCCTCGTTGTCTTTGGCGACCACTCAACATATCTTGCGCCAACCAAGATTAACAAATGCTCATCGTGCCCTCGAATTTGGATGCGAAATTAGCGCACAAGGCGGATTCTAGGTTATAAAAGAGGGACTGGCCTGGGCCTGGGGAACGAGATGGCCTGGCAGTCTCTATCTGGCATGGGGGGTAGTGGAGGTCAAAATAATGGGGGTGGTAATGTAGGTGATGGAGGGAATCAAGCAAATCAACCTCAAGGAACAGAATATACACTGCAAGGTATGCGCTCAGTCGTTTTGTTCTTGTGCTTAAACTAATTCGCAGTTAGGTGTTATGCGATTCTTACAAACTGAGTGGCACCGACATGAGAGGGAACGAAATGCTTGGGAGATCGAAAGACAAGAGATGAAAAGCAGAATAGCCAAATTAGAGGGCAATACTAGAAAACTTGAAGGGTCAAATGAGAGTTTGAAGAAATTCCTTACAATGTTGGAGAGAGTGGCCAAGGATCGAGAGGCACAATTGAAAGCGATCAAATCTGGTGGTACAGCGCCGGTGCCAGCAAATAAAGAGACCAAGGATAAAGATTCGCGTCGTAAGTCAATTGAAAATCTTGTGATTGTTGAAAACTAATAGATGTAGCAACTAAAAGAGAGGCACATAACTCTTTCCTCGTGGTTGACGGGGAACCTGATGCGAAAAAGGCGGTTCAAGCGGAGAAAGGTAGCATGAAAGATTTTATGGATAAATCTCAAGGAGAGCTCACTTATCTCTTGATCGCACCACCAAATCCTATGCCACCACGAGAAGCCCCACAACCACCTGAGGAGATTCTACCTTTCGGAGTTAGCCAAGCTCAGCAGCAAAATATCGAAGAAATGCAACAGCGATACTCTGGATCAAAAGTCATGAGAGTACCAGAATTATCAAGAGCTCCCCCCGCGCCTTCTCCGACACCTAACCATAATCCACCACCAGTCCCAAGTCCCAATAAACATTCTGTACCAAATCCTGATAATCCAGCGCCAAGGTTTTTAGCAGACCAACTACCTTTACCACAACCTTCTCAGCAAGAATGGTCTTCTACATTTAGATCTCCAGAGAAAGCTCAACCGGCGGAAGAGCCCATAACAAAAGTTAATCATTCTTATGACTCCTATGGACGACCTATTGAAAATGAAGAAGCAATAGAGAAGTCAGGTCCTCCTGATACCGATGGATGGGATTTCAATGAGCCAACTCAAACTACAGAACAAGAAAATAAGATTGCGACCCAGAGACCTGATACAGATGTATTTCCATCAGCTCAAGATATACCAAAATCGCCTATTCGTGGACCAGGCTCACATAGGAGGAAAACCTCTATGTCAAGAAGGAAAAGTGGCGAACATGAACTTTCATTAAATCCAACACAAAGGCCGGATAGTGGTAGTTTCAAAGTTCGATTCGGACTTAGAGGTCACCTAGATGCAGTTCGTTCGGTAATATTTACTGGAGGGGGAAGTCCTGGAGAACCAGAATTATGCACAGCAGGCGACGACGGTACAATTAAAAGATGGATCATTCCCGCCCGTTATGAAGATCAAGGCACATTCCATGTTAGCGCCAATGATTTGGATATTCAAAGTTATTTTACTCATCGTGGTCATGCCGGAGCTGTCATGTGCTTAACTGCTTGGTCTCCATCGCAAAACTTTGCCAGTGGTGGACGTGCACAAGGTGACGGATGGATCTTCTCTGGTGGCCAAGACGCTACCGTTAGAGTATGGGAGCGAGGGCGAGTTGATCCTAAGGCGACTCTCGATGGTCACACAGATGCAGTATGGGCAGTCTGTGTACTTCCTGGTACAACTGGATCGATCTTTGGTCAAAGTAATGCATTTGGTGGACCAGATCGTATTATTTTAGCAAGTGGTGCTGCAGATGGTACTGTCAAAGTGTGGTCTGTAAGCGCACCTCCACAACTCGTATCGCCTTCAGGTGGAGGTAACCGAAGGGGTGGCAGAGTTCGAGGCAACTCAATGTCATCTGGCTCAGCATTCCCATCATCCCCTCAACCAAGCGTTGCCTCGACTTCGCCTTTCCATTACACATTAATACATTCTATAACCAGACCTAATAGCACCGCATCCCCTACTTGTATAACACCTTTAGCCACTTCAGGCGAATCATTTGCCGTGTCTTATTCTGACGCAGCTGTTCTGGTATATGATACAAGAACTGGTGAAGAAGTTGCCTCTATGGCAAGTCTGGAAACATCTAATGGCACCCAATCAACAGGAGTCAATGCGATTGTTGCAACTACTACCGGTCTTGATAGTTCCTTGAGTTCCGATTCTAATCGAGGAATGTCTGAAGATGAGAATGTTGTTAGCGGGGCAACAGGTAGAAGTGGTGGTGTTGAAGGCATTATCATCAGTGGACATGAGGATCGCTTCATTAGATTTTATGATGCTAATAGCGGTAAGTTACCCCTAACCTCACCGACAATTCATGACTAATTAATTTAGGTCAATGCACATACAATATGCTTGCTCATCCAGCAGCTATATCTGCTCTATCACTATCTCCTGATGGACGTGAGCTCGTCTCTGCAGGTCATGATGCTAGTCTACGATTCTGGTCTTTAGAGACACGTAGCTGCACTCAAGAGATGACAAGTCATAGACTTATGCGTGGAGAAGGTGTATGTTCAGTCGTATGGAGTCAAGATGGAAGATGGATCGTTAGTGGTGGAGGTGATGGCGTCGTAAAAGTTTTTGCGCGCTAATTTGTGATAATACCCCATATTCAATATTTTTCCTCTAATTTTTCCATTTGAGATGAAACGCAAATACGTCTTCTACATGGATATATGGAATCAATGAACGGATGGTCGAAGGGAGTGATGAGGTTGAATGTTATATGCATTATATCTCACATATGAATGTTCTCTGATTTGTTTGGCATTCTCTTTGCATCTCACCAATCAACATATCTTGTCACACAGTTAGGGGTTGTTTTCGTGTGGCAGAAGGGCATACTCCAGCCGAATTGTACTTTCATGATCTGGGAGTAGAAAGTAGGGATCGATAAATTTGGAGGAAATATTCCAATCCTAGGTGGAAAACAGCATGTGTTAAGATGAGATGAAAGATGAGATAATGTTTTTGTAGTTTAGATGATACTTTTATTTTTCTTGATTTGGCAGAAAGTGAGTCTGCTGATAACTTTTTGATTGGCCTTTTAGCATTATTGATGGGAGATGATTTGATGATGGAAGGGAGGAAAAGGAATGGTGGATATGTTGTTTTGATGGGTGGATGCCTGGGCGAGTGCGAGCTGATTCGATAATTTGCTCAACTCGTTTATGGAAGTGGAAGGCATAGGGGTATACGGGTTATGTTATAGGAAAGTATAGAGTGGAGGCCAATCTTGTACAAACAACGGAATGAAGATACCTATTTTCTTGGAATCATATAAGAATTTTTACCGTGTCATGTATGAGTAACCCATGTAATAGGATCGAAGTAATGACAGAGGGTGGATGCTCTGATCCAATAATTTGGATCGAACTTGTGCACGGCATCTTGCAAAATTGTGCTCATTAGATATCATTATACTTAAGCATTAAAAATGCAACAAATATGGGTATAGATTGCTTTTCGCCCGCCCTTTATTCTTAAGCTCAATAATAATCATCATCGTCCATCTCAAGATCCTCCCTCCCATCTCCATATAGAATTTCACATACACCACCCAATGGTACATCCATAACAGCATCCGTACCTCGACTCCAAACTTTCTTCCATGCCCTCACATCCGCCTCTTTCCCTCCCCCAGTATAGCCCGTACCCCTTTCCTTCTCCTTACCTCTCCTCCTATCTTTCTCCCTAGCATTCTCCTCCTGACTGGCATGACTCGCTCCCGCCATTCCCCTCCCATCAACTAAACACACATTCGCAGCCCCATCTATAATCGTCTCCACATTACTCATACCTAGTGTAAGGTATCCGGTATTATAACTCGCGAGCGCGACATAGATATATACGAGAAGCATAACAATCCAACTCGGTAACGCGAGAGACCACCAACGATTGGGATAGTAGTAGATTCCTAGAGCGTGTAGGAAGGGAGATGGGAGGTAGGACCAGAGGAGATAGAGCAGGAAGGTTAGAGAGGAGAAAAGGTAGAGTACGAAACCGTAGTATTCGTAGGTTGGAACCTTGGGGGAGGCACGCGGGACGGGGGGTTCGAGTTCATCGGCGGAGGAATCGGGAGTGGTGGGGCGAGAGGGTCGGAGGAGACTGGTTAGTGAGGGGGAGGGGGGAGAGGTGTAGGAGGTCGGTTGTAGAAGGGGGGTGCGAAGAAATTGTGTTGGAGAGGGGTGGTGAGGGGGATTCGGAGGACGAGGATGAGCTGGGTCGAGAATGTGGTCGGGGCGTTAGGGGTTGAGAGGGGTTCGGATGCGTAGGATTTGGTTGGTAGTGTGATTGGAATAGGTAGTCGTCAGGGTCGGGTGGTGGAGGTGAGGAGGATGTTGACGAGGATGTCATTTTGCTCTGCGATTTAAGATGAGATTCTTTCGGTGAGCCTCAAGAATCGTGGGCTTAAAGGTCTGTAAGTTTTGGAAGTAATTTCGTCGTTATTTTATTTAATTGTCGGATAAAACCAGGTGGGTTTGTTTATGAGCTCGAAATTATTGGTTCACAGTAGGGGATTCGTGATGGTCATCGAAAATCATGCAATTGTCATGCAGTATCACGTTTAACGTGCAGTTAAAAGATCCCATGCGTATCATTCAATGTTGTTGCTGAATACTTGGTGTGTTGTGTACATATTTTGATGATCACAATCTATCATGCAAGTCGATGATATTGTATCTACAGCCTCGTAAAGTTAACTTTGACAAGGCTGAAATCTCATTTCATTCGTTTGTTACGTAGGACCTAGTAACTCTAATTCGTTCTAGACCAATCGAAACGTAGCCCCTTGCATCCTCCAAATTAGGTAAGCGGAAGTGATTTCATTTCCAGTCAACACGCTGACGAAAGTAACTCACCATGACATTCACAAGACGTCCTGACATTCACACAGTCACCTCGCGCGAACTATATTGCCAGCTCTAAGTGCTCTTGGCAATATGTCCAGCTTGCGGAATAGATGAGCAACAGTTCTCCAGATTTTAGAGTTTGATTCTCATATGGTGTGCACCATAAGATCTGAGACAGAGTGTCATCCATGATATGATGGGTCCACTGATTTCACTGATTTTACTGAAAGCCGTTTGCTAAATGGTAATCGGCAGTTGAATCTCCTCGAAGATAATCTATCTGAAACTGAAACGAAATTCTACCAGTCTTCCACAATTTTCTTTGCAATATGGAAATTAGAGATTTCGTACTGCTCTTTGAGTATGTACCGTACTTCTTGAAATTACAGATTAGACAATTAAATGATAATATGATGGTTGGGAAAGGTGTCTCGTCTTATATAACTTAAGCTCAGCCAGGTTGCTTTGAAGTCTATCATTCATCTGACAAGTTTGCAAGTTATATTCATTCGTTCTGTTCTTTAATTCTCTCAAAAGCAAGCTGCTTCAAATCTTTACTTGTTTTTATCTGTTTTTGTCCTTGAAAATATCACAGCCATCTATCAACATGAGGTACTCAATCGCCGTCGCAGCTCTTCTTGCAAGCTCGGCTGTTGCAGCACCAACAACGAAGCTCAATGCCAAGCAAAGACTTGCTCAGCGAAACAAGAACGCTGCTCGTTCTGAATACTATAATGAGAGCTGGTCTGGTGCTGTTCTTACTGGTGCTGTCTATACTGGTGTTTCTGCTTCTTTCTCGATACCCAAGCCACAGGTTGGTACTACAGGAGAGGCCTCAGCATCAGACTTCACGGCTTCTACCTGGGTTGGCATTGATGGATACAATTGTAACAACCTCTGGCAAGCAGGTGTCGACGCCACAATTGAGAAATCGACGGGTGAAATTTCATACTATGCTTGGTATGAATGGTACCCCGCCGCAACTCAAGTCATTGAGTTGGGTACTCTCACAGCTGAAGATGTAAGTTTCCTAGTCTTATTGCCGTAATGCAGGAGACAAACTAACAGCTCCAGGTTATCTCCGTAAATATCACCACTAGCAGCTTGAACCAAGGAACCGTTTTTATGGAAAATAAATCTACAGGCAAATCATACACCAAGACCGTTTCCTCGGCGAATACCTTGTGTGGTATTAGTGCTGAATGGATCATGGAGGATTTGAGCGTTGATTCTAGCACTATCGGTCTCGCAAACTATGGGAGCGTTGTTTTCTCCGATGCAGTCGCTACTACTGCTTCCAAAACGGTCACACCATCTGGCGCGGTGATTTTGGACATTGAGACTAGCTCGAATATCGTCCTAACGAAGTCTAGTGTCACCGATAAATCGATCACCATTGCTTATGTTTAGACTAAAGGGGCAAGGATGTAGTTTTGTATATAATTGGCAGGGGCAGCGTGATTGAGACGCTTAGAATCATTATGTATATAGCTTTGAATATGATTCAGTACATACATAGGAGGAATCATCGAGCGTCCTTTTTTGTTGAAGCTTTGTTGTCGGACCCCTATAATTTTGATGGTTTCGATTTTTTTTTTGATGCTGTCTGCTTAGTTGACATCCATCTGAAGGAAGTCAATAAAAGCTTCAGCCACAATTGTGCTTGGCTGTGGCTTCCACTTTGCGACATTTTCCCCAAATAGAGAGACAACATTTAAATAGTAACAACGCACTATTAATAAGTTATTCTATATACGTTGGAATTCAAGACTATAATAGTTACACAACAAATCCCCCTACAACTGCACACGACTTTCCCATCCATCCACCGGTCTATCAATTGAGGGTGGACGCAATGAAGCTCCAGCGGGATCCCAATCTATTGATAGCGGCTCATGACTTCTGTTATATTTCATCCCTTTGAACCATAGTTCAAACCTTAAATCTGCTGGTGCAATTATTACTCGCACGGTAAACGTGGCGAGATAGTATTTCTTCCGTTGCCAGAGCTTTCGATTTTTCGGTTCAAATTCTTCCTCATCGACTTCCTTCAAATCCGAGTGCACTGTGCACAGTTTTGAGACATTGGCTGCAGCTGTTCGTTAATTTTCTATATTTGTACTGGTGGGAATGGAACTCACAGTGTCTGAAACTCGTGGGTAGATTGTTACGATCTTCGTGGGAAATTACAATTGTTGTATCCCATGTTCGATTATTGTCTCCTGGAATAATCTTCCTCGTGAAGAGTCGGTCTCGAGCAGAATCAGTCTCGATAGTGTCATCCTTGATAATTGTAAGAATTGGGAGCTGGTTTGTGGAAGATTCATTCACTATACCTTTTTTATGATCCAATCAATTTGCATCGTCGCCCATTTCTGTTTCTTGTTGTAAGGATCGGTTATGATGGTTTCTCCTACATGAATCGCGGGGTTGTATTCCTGACGACATAAGACACCGTAACTCGCCCTTGCTCTGTGTTTCTCATTGTGTTAGTATTGCCGTCATACGAAAAGCGAAATGTTTGAGATACGAACACTCTAGTTTTCAGAGTCGCCGATCCAACTTTTATTTTTTGTCTTCTATCTATCACCAATCCCTTTACCACTGAAAGTCGCGGCTCTTGAGATTTCAAAATTCTTATACGATGTGCTATTTGGCGAGGATTTCGATAGAAATATTCTTCAATCTTGGTCTTTACATATTGTGAACCTCCAAGACCGCCACTCAAGACAAGATATTTCTATAAAATTAGCCAAGATCTCGTTTTCTATTTCGGATTAACTTACCACATCATCATGGCTTCTATGCGTTTGCATCCAATGCAGTTGTTTGTCGATGTTACGTATTATACCAGAAATTTGCACGTCGAACAGAGATTGTATCTCGAATCTATGTTCTGTTAGCATCAATCGCCTTATATGTCAACTCACGCACCTTGAAAATTGCATTCTACCCTTCTCAATCCGAAGTCCCAGGTGAGTTAGATCTTTGTCGATCCCAAGTCCCAATTTATCGAGTCGTAGTATATATACAGTATGATTACCTGAAGTCGTTCCGAAATTATGTTTAATAGACTGAAAGGACGAACCTCTAGCTAGTTTATGTGCTAGATTTTCTGGAAGTTCTATGTCGGGATACTTGTCCAATCGATTCTGTACAAGGATTTGGAATGCTCGATCAATCATTGTCGATCCGATACCAACACCCTTAACTTCTGCCACCTGCTTCAATGCTGGTCTTTGAGGATTTGGATCCGCTACTTCGACAAGACCAAGGCTGAGAGAGGCAATTAACGACTATGGCTTGATACACTCACCGTGCATCATTGTTTGAATTCAGGCTAATACTTACTCGGTCGTTCCTCCACCTGCATCACAAATGAGAACGATATCTCCTTTTTCAAGCTCAATTTCAGAATTTGTCACAAAATAAACAGCTGCAGCTTCAGCTTCGGTCAATTCCAATTTCGCCGAATGCTTATCCGGATTTTGAGATGTGAAGCCTGCCGCATCAATCGCTTCTTTGAATCTATTAACCGTGTCCAAAGCATCCCAAGTGGTGGGGAGACTAAAAACAAATTCGATTCTCTTCTCTTTCCAACTCCCAGTAATAGCTTCAATGCATAGTTTCACGTGCATGTAAATCTGGTGTAGATAATCCGTCACGAGATATTTTGCTTCGCCAACAGTTTCGGGCATATCTCTTACACCCCCCTTCCGAGCTAAATCCAAACTATGTTGATCTAAGTAGATCTTGAAATGCTCATGGACTTTCGTAAATTCGTGATATTCATCATCGGGATCACATGAGAATCCCCAAACGGTTTCTTGTCTACCATTTGAATCGCGTGAATATGCAAGCGTTGTTGGAACTTTTGTTTCCACTGAATCTGGAGGTAACCCGGGCCATTCTTGAATACTTTTGGTAGGATTTGTATTGCTCAAGTTTGACCATACGACTCCTAGAAGTGATGTTTAGCTTTTCGTGTATATTCGGTGTGTTGCTAGACTTACCAGTGTATGTCTGTCCAAAATCAATCCCTACAATGATGTCCGGAGCGTTATTATCGAAGGGGGCCATCGCGACTGAAGTGGTCTCTTTTCCTTGCGCGTGCAAATTTCCCCGGGAGGAATTGAAAAGGATCGAAAATAAGGACTTTTTGATCAAGAAGAGATTGATTGATTATGAAAAAGGTGTAATTGCCTCGAGGATCCTCATTAATTTCATAGCATAATCATCTTGGATGATTTGACATTTTCAATACTCCTTGTCCAAAAAATGATCATCAACCAGGTCACTTGTAATCTATTCAACAGTATCGTTTTACATCCAGCCCCCAGATTTACATTCTTATTTGGGGGATCAGCCAATAACTGATCTTTCAGCCGCAACCTTGTCAGCCTATTAATTTTGTTGTTTCTATCCCTGCTTGATTCTATCATTCAAAACTGTTATATCTATGTATGTTCATGCAACCACAAAGTAAGTAAATGTGGAGGCTAAAGAACCAGACTTCGCGTGGAGAAATAGATCCTAAATCACACACCAAAATGGATTTTCAAATATACATTCGAACATCTAAACTTATTTGGAGTATGAGATGTATTTGAATATCTAATCTGCTCCATAATATCAAAATGATTTGATCTTTAAATTGGAATTGGAGCGTTGAAAGCGTTTGATTGTGGGATTTATTAGAATATTGACCCTAAGGTTTCCTTGGTGTGGAACTTATTTTGTCCGTGCCAGGGCAAGACTTTTGCAAAACACCTGTCAGACTGACCTTATCTATATGCTTCTTAGCGATTCAAATATCAGTTAGTATCCTAAGATAAATCTGCAAAAATTGGCAACATTGTGACCGGATGAAGGGAAAAGTTCTAGGAATAACAAGGATCATACACTAGTTTTGGACCCCAGAATAATTAAGCCAATGCTTATTGAAGAATTGCCCGTGAATGGAGAAGGATTGCGGTATAGATTAATTCAATGTCCATGCAATGTAACGCAAATTAGATAGCTTACACGAACTTTGTGGAGTCTCCTCTCTAAATAGGAAACTCACCGATTAATCTTGGTACTTAATCCGTCCCATGTCCAAAACAATGAATGAGGCGGCGCTGCGCTCTAAGGCTGAGAGCCTCATGAATCTCACACGGTGCCATTCCCCCAGAATTTGTTCTTTGTTTTCTTGTTGATTTAGGTATTGATATCAGCATCTGATTTTGTTGAGCATTTTCAAACGTTCAAGAAATTCAATCATGTCAAATTTAAATATCTCCTCTTCCAATCCTTCTGGTACTAGTCTTGTATCAGGAACCTCTGCCACTGCAAATACTACTACAGAAGCCACTACTTCAGCAACCTCTTCATCGTGGACCTCGACAGGCTTCTCGAACTACACTGGACCTGCAAATTCAACCGCAATTGGCCACCATGGTTCTTCAGTTTCTGGAGGAGCCATTGCTGGTATCGCAATAGCTACTTTCATTGTTGGTGCACTTCTCAGTTCCATTGGCCTTTGGTTTTACTTTAGGAGAAAACGAGCATCGAAAAACCCCTGGAGGTCTGAGAATGGATACAGCAAAGGAAATGATATTACAAATCATGGTGCTGCAATACCCAAAGATCCCGAGACACAAATGCAAAGCTATGTGATTGCTGAACGAGCAGATGATAGTCAATTGCGGCACCAAATGCAAAATCTTGAAGAATTGATCTACCAGCACGTCGAAAATCACTATATTACAGGACAATATACTGGAACCTCTTACGATTTCACGGCAACGTTGAAGAAATGTGGATATTCGGAACGAACTGAGCCTACTATCTCTACGCTTGGATCACTACTTGGCAATTCTAGTGAGCGACAGACAGCAATCAAAAGTCTTATCGCATGGGTCATTTTTAGGGGGTACAGCTAAACAGTAGTTCTGAGTATTCATTGTTGCCCGATGAGATCACAAGTTTTTATTGTTCAGCTTTGAAGGACAATAAGCAATTGAATAAACAAAATGGTATGGATTATCTATTTATCAACGTTCTCTTTCATAGAATTTCTTGTCTCTCCTATAGAGTGATTGCTAAATTCTGTTTAGCAGCATACAATAACGCACTATCCCGAGTGCGAGAACTATCCACACATCATATATCTTCATCAAAATCTCCCGAAGACGCTTCCAAAGACCCGTCAATAGCAAAAGTTGTCAATCTTCTCAACTCCATACTCCAGCCTTTCATAAGTCCCAGTAGCAAAAGCTCACAATTCGAGAATCTCGCATCGATCATTTATCAAGGGAGAGAACTTGGACTACAGTTGTTAGCACAACCAGGAAATTGGATATTTGGTTGGAAAGCAACTGCAGGGGGGGTGGAATCAAATACCAGAAATCAGATTGTTGTGTTCCCTAGTTTAGAGGAGGTCATTAATAAAGACGGAAAAGAACGTCGGAGGGTTGTTTGTGAGCAGGAGAGGGAAATTATTTAAGGAGGGGTCATTAGAGGTACTCATACGTGGTGAATTTCTATGAAATAGTGTATTGTTAGCTAGAAAAGAAGCTTGAGGTTCTAATATCCCCTCGGGCAACTAGTAAAATCACGTAGAAGATGGGTAATGATATAGCCTTAATATTAATTGATAATCAAGATTCCACGAGTGCTCCATCATATAGAGGATTAGATGCTAGTCAAAAATCGAGAATACGAATAGTTTGAATTTTTAGCCAGAGTACTACAGAATTCTGAGACCCACAAAAGTAATGCATTCTCAGGAATCAAACTAGCTACTTAGCCGCGGAGCTGCAGAAGGCTTTCTGAGGCTGAGTAGCATTGTGTGTGGCAGAGGCTTATACGCTACCTAGATCACGCACATGCATCTTATCACTTCTCCTCATTTTCCCCATCTTCTCCATCATTCAATGTTATTCCTGTAGACTGAATAAAACTCAAGAAGCTGTCGACAGCTATCTTCCACCTTTAATAGTTATTCCAATCATTCTCCTGTTGGCTGATCATGCCGGACCCTATTACTGTTGGCGCTGTAGCTAGTGTAGCTGGGGTAAGCATGTCTTTCTTGAAATTCCCAGTGCACACACAATGATGCGCCCCTCCTCTATCACAAAGTTATCGAATCCCTTCCAGAAATTCTAATTCGCCCATTTAAGGCTCTAACTCGCTCAATCGCCCTCGCTATATTCGTCAAAGATATCAAAAACGCTCCAGCAGACGTAAAGACTTGTTTTTCTCTCACCGAACGGGTTTCTACTGACCTAGATCATCTTATTGTTCTCCGTTCCCTACACTCTAAATATCTTTCCCGACGCCCATTTGCCTCCAAAAGATTAGACGGCATCATCAAAGACGCAGGACAAAGTATCACTGACATATGCGGACTATTGGAAGGATGTAGAAAAGAGGTTTATCCAGATAAACATATCCCGATCAAGAATAAGCTACAATGGGTACTAGGTGATGGTGCGGCATTTGAGAGGAGAAGAGGAAACTTGCAACAACAGCATATTGCACTTTTGGCGGAAATAGGGTGGTTAAGAGGACTTGAAGTCGGGGAAGAGACAGAGAATTTGGAGTTTGAAAATGTGGATCTATTGAGCGCAGGAAGGAGGGAGAGGAAGAGCAGCTCAGTTTCTCAGACTAGAAATCGATACGAGGGTATTGACTTGAAACGGCCAAGTAAAAGCGTGGAAGTGAAAGTGGAAGTTGAGGAACTAGATTTTGGTGGGGATATAGAGCCAGATTCTCCCGTAACGAAGGAATACGTAGCTAGGAATCCTGAGACTATTTCTAGCGAAGGTCGTCGAGAGGTCAGCAGACATGAGGAATCGGATGATGAGGATCCAGAATTGGCTTTTATAGAGATTTGAGAAGACAAGAAGAAGAACGACATAAGAGAATGGCCGGGAGGAAGAAGTTGAGAAATCCATGATAGCAAAGTATGCATTTTATTGATTCATAAGGAAAGCATTCTTACAAAAAGTTTATTTGAGATTCTTGGAAAAAATTTATGAATGGAGAAGGTACTACTTGATACAACGTGATTAGTGGGTTGTCTAAGAAAGCATGAAAAGGAAGACAAGCTCTCCATAATCTCCCTCAAAATTTAAAACCTCAAACGAACTGGTTCAAGCTGCAAATGCTTGCAGATGCTCCTAAACAACTACAGTTAGGTAGTGTCTGTTTTCTTGATGTACTCGTTATTTCAATGACAATTTACACCCTGCTGACTGTACCAATTCAACACCAAATAGTTGGTTATTGGACCGTCAAATCGATCATACCATCCAAACTACCCCCATCGCTATCATACTCTGTACGACACATCGTATTTCCATGTGTATCGCTTTTGAACAAATCTCTCCAGGTCTGCTTGATTTCAGAAAATTGAGCCTCTAGATCATATAATAAATCTTTGAATGCATCTATAAACAAGTCGGATCTCTCAAGCTCAAAGGCTCTTTCTCTTCTTCGAAGCATCATTCCTCTGGCTGATCCATACGAAAACTCTTTAATTTTCTTCTGTCAATTCGAAATGCAATTTCAGTAATCGCGTCCTGATCACGTCTGAGGGCTACGGCACATTTCTCGAGTAAGATCACCAGTCTAGCAGCCTCGAATGTTCGAAAGAACCCTCTTGGTGGCTCTGGATCAAGAGCCCGGCCGCTGCCTTTCTCCTTTTCTATGGAGGCTACCAACACACGCGAAGCATCAACAATGCGATTGTACTGTGGCTGAAGATGCTCCACAATCTCCGCTCTGACAGAGTTGAATTTCATATTATCAAAACTCTACGAGGCTTCCGCTGCTCTCATTAACGCCTTCTCAAGAAAGCTTCTACGATAAATCATACAGGGGTTCAAGTGAAAGCTCTCGTCTCGCCCGCGAACCGGCGAATTTCCACTATGAGTTATTGCTTGAATTTCTTCTCCCATATTTTTCATCTCTAGCTTCAATGGAGCAAAATTCTCGAAAGATAGCACAAAATCGATGAAATTTCTGTGCATTTCAGATAGTCTAATTATGTTAGTTATTGTCGCTGTAAAAAACACCCTTCAAATATTACAACTGACCTTTCGGCCAGTCTATCCTCAACTAAGCGCTTCAGCTTCATATATGACTTCTTGTCTAAAAGGTTCGACTTCCGGGATATGCGAGCAATAGTTCGCTGTTGCCCTGAACAAAGCTTCGATTATGTCGTGGTGGTGGAAATTTACTCATGATCAGTGCCGCCTCCCTGACAGTTAAGTCTCCCACGTTTCGAAGGATCGTCAAAGGTAGAAAATTTTGCCATGGCTCCATAAGTTCCTCGCCTGATCCATACTGGCTATGTTCCTGAGTATGACCTCAAGATCTCTAATAGGATGCCGAACACAAGGTCGCAGAAGTATTGAAACATTTTTATTTCCCCCTACTCCGGTCTTGGTCTCTTGCCATCCGTGTACGAGTTAATGACTATTATCCACCCTCGAACCTTTTGAAACGCTGGTTGTGTTGTTTCTTTGATTTCTTTGCAATCCATGCCTGCTTAGCGGTATGAAAAACCATACCTCAACAAAGGGGTAAATCTATGTCTCCTCTCACTCTGAAGGCGGCCCGTACTTATCAAGTGTCTATTACAGCACAGGAAAAACGTTTGAGAATACAAGATCTCGCATCCGTCCTCGTAGTTCTGTCGACAGACTCTGAGAATTGCAGGATGCAAATAGTATTTGATACCATGGTTATCTTGAGGCCGGACATGGTAGTGTCCCAGAATAGATTCAAATTCTTCTAGAATAGGATTGATGAGCAGGTTTTTGATTATCTTGAATCGAACTTCTAGCAGCAGTGTATTGAGTGATGGGGGTGGATTGGCTTGATCGAGTACGGGTTCGATTTCCATTCTGGCAGATGCTCAAGAATTAGATTGGTCAGAAGTAGTCAGATATTCTAGGAGTCTTTCGTGACTATTGATTGAATTATTAGAAAAGCGGAACGAACAAAGGGAGCACAGCATGCTTCTCTATTGCTCTTTCCTCAGTTACTATTACCCCACCTTCGTGACTTGTGTTAAGTTGGACCGCAGAATTGTGCCCTTAACAAAATCGCGGGCCTGCAGAATGGTTGTTATGTTGTTTGTTGCTGTCGGTAGTCAACTTGGTTGATAAATGTAAACTGTTTTAGTTTGTTATGGCTGTAATCGTTCTTGATCATTATTAATCATGGGAAGCTAGTACTTATATAAGGAAGCGCTAGCGTCTCTCTAGTTAATACAGTACCCTCTCATGATCCCAAAATTATGTAATATGTTCTTGTGTTATCTTGTGGAAAACGCCCAGGGAAATATTAAGAAACTGTAAAATATGTAAGAAGAAGAGAGGTATAAGGGTCTCTAACAAAAATCACCAAGCAAGATAACATGAACCTCTGATAGTAGATTTCATGATTAGTAGATTTTCCTGCTCAAGGCCGATTAAAAGGCGTGATTACTCAAACATCAGGATAATAGGCAAAATCAAGAACTAATAATATTTTTATGTTGTTCGTTTCCAAAAGATGAATCTATGATAGCCAATACAATTGGAAAGTATAATGAGATCAACATGATGAATAATAAGAGAGCTGAATCTTACATAAAAAAAAACTCTAATCCCTCATGAAACACTTCTCCGATGAGCTTTTTCACCGATATAATTAATTAGTCACAATTGCTGGGTTCGCAATAAATATTGTCTTTAAACTGTGACATTTGGAGCATCTCTATAACATAAAACCGGTGGAAACAGTTCTCCAGGCTCACTATTTGTGGTTTTAAGAGATCCATTCGCGTGCAATTTATTTTATCAAGATATAGATATCAAAGGCGTCTTACTATCGACTTATTAGTGACAGTCAAGTTTCTACCTTTCTAATACCATCTCTTATCATTGTCTCACAGTGACATGTAATGTAAGCTTTCATACTTATTAAAAATAATATTAGAGAATATTAATCAGATTCTCCAGATTTCTCGGTTAACACCTTTATAGTGAATATATAGTTCTTTTCTAACACTTGGAAATGAATGTTTTATAGATAGTCTTTTGAATTGAGTGCTTGTTTATACATGGACATAATAACTAGTGATTGGAATAGTATACGGTGTATTCTGTATGCGCCCTACTATAATAAGGCGTATTACATTTCTACTATATATCTTAATATATATTATTAATTATTACATTACTAGTATTATTAACATTACTATTTAATATTATATATTAATAATAGGATATAGAAATACGGGAATTCAATAGATTTGATAAATACTAATGAAAGTGGTTTCAATGTTACCTATTTGGGAAGAATTTATTGAATATTTCTGAATTCCTATGGGAATGTGGCTGAAACCCTTAGGAATTCATTGAATTCAAGTTATTCAATATATTGCTAGTATTCTCTAATATATCCTATACATATTTCAGTGGATAATTCAGCTATTTATATATACTAGCGTGATATATGAGGCTTCAATATCAGTCACCATAATACTAACTTACACTACTCCAATCACTGATGATGACTGATTGAGCGTCTGAGCATCTGAGCATCTAAGCAGTTGAGTGATTGAGTAATTGACTAGATCTTTACCGGGAGCCCATCTAGATTTGACTGTACGTATCATGATGGGCATAAACCATCTTCCAATCTTTCTCGTTCGCCTAGATATTAGACGATGGGACATCATCTGCGTTTTAAACGGCAAGATAATGTATCACGCGATGCTTGTATACCATTCAAGAATACCATAATGTGGACTTAATTCACCGTCATCTATTAGTCACTATGCATGTCTCACTACGGTTCTTGCACCGTTTCCAGTGACGTTGATTTGATCTTACGGTTCGTATAACTAGTCTTCGTCCATATCCATGTATGGTTTCTTGACAGAGAACTACGGTTAAAATCATCTCTGTTGAAGATTATGAGGACTGTACTGAATTCACTTCGGTTTAGTTGATGGAACCGAATCATTGCGCTGGAATTTGTCACTAGGATATTATCTACGGTCATTACCTGGTGATAAGTCATGAGCGATGATGTAATCAACTTCTTTAGTGCCTAGATGGAATAGTCAACTGAATTGCTAGCCTTCCAAATTTACTACGGTCACTGCTGCTGTCGTACTAAATACTTGGGATGTGACCATACGAGTTGGCACGGTTTGAGAAAACATTTGGAGTCGTTACGGTTCTGATGAGGATTACCAACTCAGTACAGTGTCTGGCAACTTTTGCGAACATGGCATCCAACACAATTGATATATAAGTCTCTTACTCCACTGAGCTCTCCCTCCCATTCTCATTCGCAGGAAAAACATCCAAAGCAACTTCTTCTCATTCTCAATCAGAGAATAAACATCCAAATTCAACTTCAAAGATACTCAAACAGAGACAAATACACTTTCCATTCAGATATCTCAAGAATTCTGAACTGTCAAAATGTTCTCTTCAGACGACTCAGATATTGATATGATCGACATCAATGGTAAGATATCAGATTCTTCACAATAGCCCCCAAGGTTTACAATATGCTAACTGTGTTTTAGACAATCAAACAAAATATCAACAGGGCTCACGCTGCATTTCCCGAAGAAAGCCAAAGGCTATGACCAAATCCAAGAAATCTGCGCTCGACAAGCTCCCACTCGAAGTTAGACGCATGATCTACAAGGAGCTTTTGGTAAACCCGGTTCTAGGAACCATGAAGGCCATCGAAGCAGACACAGAGTTTGGAGTCGAAGCCACTTATGGACTCACACCGGCCATATTACGCACATGCCGCAGCATTTACGAAGAAGCTTCGGAGGTCTTGTACGACCAAACATTTATTATCAAGTGCGATTACAACTATCGCGGTGGAAGCTTGGGGCAAAGACCTGTTATGTCATGCCCTTGTCCTATATTGAGATATAGATACAAGCTCACACCTCCACTTACTCGACTTGAGATTCCTGTCAAGTCTTCGGCAATGACCCAAGCCCGTTCCTGGAAAGTTCTCATCGATTCGTCTGTCGATGATATCGATTACCACCAACAGTTCTACGAATTCTGTAGAGCAGTCTGCGACGCTCGTCCAAAGAAGATCGAGATCGTCATGTTGAAGACAGGAACCGGTCCACCTAATGCAGCTCAAGTGGGGCGGTTGGGAATATGCCGTACGTGGAATCCATGGGAAACACTAGCACCACTCACCATGTTACGAAATGTCGGTAAATTGACCATCAGAAATGAGTACCCACCGTTTCTCCACGAAATCGACGGCTTCAATCCAGATGCAGTTGTCTGGAATTCAAATGAGCCTGGGAAATTATTGACGCGTATGCTGCAAAATTTGGTACAAAGCGATAGACCTGTTGAAAGGTAAGAATCCTAGATCCTTCTAATGCGAAAATTATATACTAACCAGGTAAATAGAATATTCCAGATGCGAGAAAAGCTTGTCATTCTCGCGGAGAGCTTCGAGCGATATCTTCCATTCAAGATGGACATGAATTTCCGCGCTCCATTGACTATGCGGGGCAATCTTCGTTCTCATCCAGAGGACATACATGAGCTTATTCAGTTCGGTTACAAGAGATACACGGAGTATGATGTTCCAAATCCACATCGTAACAAAGACGGCAACAACGACTTAGAAGAATCTCTGTTCGGAGCCAGAAACGCCGATCTGACCGTGCAAAATTCGAATTTCAAGCAGCATAGAGAAGAAGTTGTTAAGCAATTGCGACTACAGTACAAGAGATTGGTAGATGCTTCTAATAAGCTGAAGTCTTTCAAATCTGAACGAGACCAATTTTGGGGGAGAAAAGACGCCGCATTTGCTCACTGGCTACTATTAATCGAAAAATATGCCGCAGAATTTGAGCGCAAGAAGAACCCTGACACAGCAGCAGAGTTCCGCAGACAGAAGCGCAGATTCGACAACCTCCGCGCAACATGGCCGAGAGAAGTTATGCTCGCTAAGCTGGATCGTATGATGGAGGATCGGGATTTCGGTGAATTCGAAACTGTTGCCTTGAAAGTTGAGGAAGACATGGACAAGCAAGTCGCGGGAATGACAGCTGCATGGAGAGATCTGTTCAAGGCAGACGTTTACAAGGAGAGATTCTGTCAATACAAATTCGATGTTGCAGCCTTGAGAAGAAAGAGAGTTGTTCGAGATCTGGATGAGGAATAGAAAGCGGCTGCGATGAAAGGGAATGACCATATTTTACATCACTTCTCTCATGGTTTGATTAGCGTGGAGAGAATAAATTGCGAAATTATGCGATTGGTTGATCAAGTCAACGGCATAGTTTCAAGACATAAATTGTCTATCTTAGTTAGATCCTAGAAATTCATATGCCATCAGAGTAGATCATACCTCACTAAATAAACCTAGATACCAGGTGACTGTTGGAATGTGATTCCTAAATATTTGAATGCTTTAGACACATGTATACACGAATTTAATATTGGCACTTAGCAAACGATAGGTTTTGAGACTTTAATCTCCCATGGATATATCTCCAAAGTAGGAATAGGAGCTATGGAAGATATGTCAATCATAGCGCTTCCGGGTGGAGGGGTCCCATGGAGCCACAAAAAAAGCAAATATCAATCCCAAAGTTTAAGTTAAAAGCGTACGGGATGGGATATGTTTGACAGCTTTATGTGTTCTCACTAACACTCCTAGGCTACCCAACTGAAAGCTCAGACAGTATAAACTGCTATATTTCAAGGGGCTCACGGAGGCGATGGACTACAGTAGATATTGGTTGAAGCATATGCGTTGATATCTGAAGCTCTAAATCCATACAAAAGAAACCCCAAATTTGTGCTTTCTAACGGGACATCTAAAAAGGAAGCTGCGGAGTACTCAAATAATTCAAGGTCAAGAATCGGCAGTAGCCTATCGAACCTTTGGAAGCATATGGTCTTTTCTATTTTGATAATTGAATGAATTTGTTGTATTCACTTCGCAGCTAACTCATTCCCTCCAGAAACTATCATTATCTGACTTCTTTCTCGATAGATATTTTCAGCATTCATGGTGTCAATTCAACTTATTCTTAATCAATCCTTCAAGCTCAACGCAACTGCCAAATGTATTGTCTGATATTTTGATATTTATAGAAATCGTGATCTGAAGATTTAGCAATGTATTTCAGGCCTAGATGTTTCAGAGATTCATTGCTTTTCGTCATTTCCTATCAGATAACCTCTTCCAAGGCTTCATTTCCTTCTCCTCAGAGCTAATCAGAGTCCGCATACCATTATGAGACTGTATATCAGCTTCTTGTAGCAGAACTTTGTCGAATGCCTTGACTTCTGACCCAAGAGCTCCATGAATACGTTCTCCTTCAACCAGCGTGTGCGGAGTATGTCTGGGCCAGCCTGTTCTGATATCTTTCTCAGATTTCTGATTATTGTCCTCCTAGCGGCTCTCAGTATTTCTCGTCATCGTCGATTCAAGTTGTTCACGTCTTCGTCTGCAGACCTAATAAAGTTTAGCATCTGTTGAATGGCATTTGGGTGCCGGGTATATGCACAAGCACTCACCTCATCACTTCCTCCCACAAGTGCGGGATCTTTGAAGCCGAAGTTCTGTATATGAACATTCTCTTCAGGGCTGTGTCTTTCAAATCCTCCGTCATCTTCAACATCTTCGTCATACAGATTATTCCAGGGTCGGGGTACATAGTGTCTCTATTTTCGACGCTGTGCCAAATAGCTTGGCATTTGTTTCTGAGGAAGAAACTCTGGATGGTGCTCAGAAGGTCTAATCTGTCTCTGGTGCTGGAAAGGATACTTTCGAGACTTGGGTTGGCGTTTGACATCTTCCTTGTATGATCGGTGCTATGGTGAATTCTGACGAGGAGGATATTCAGAACCTCTCTTCCATCTTTGCAATTTTGCCGAATCTTTCATCATAAACTCAGGCTGATTATTCTCACCTTCTATATCAGAACACTCCCACCCTATTTGACTTTGCATGGAATATGAAGATAATTTGGTTTTATTCGAAGGTCCTCCCTGGTATTGGACTGGTGAATCAGATAATCGTGTACGAGTCATAGGATAAGTCGGAACGTCCTCTCCTTCAAGTCTATCTTTTTATGTTCCTCCTCTACTATCTTCTTGACTTTGCATCGGGGATTCGTCGTCAGAAGTCATCTGAAGGGATCTGAGATTATTTGGCTCGTCAGGTGATTGTCCATCATCATCAATCCTGTCTACAGGTCAACGGAATGCATTCACCAAGGCCCTCTTTTTCATTTTTAGGATTGAATCGTTCTCGGACACAGGTACACGTTCAGTCCTCCGAGCTGAATATCGAGCGATAGTTTCCAGACCATGTTCAGGATGCTCACTAACATATACATCCCATGAATTCATGATAGTTTCGAAGTCTAATGCAGATATTCCTAAGGCCACAGATGGTTCTGTTTCATTTTCTTCGGCACAATTCTTGATATTCTTGGTGAATTCAGAATGTTTTGGTAGATCCGTAGGGACTTCTGGTGGCTGTAAATTTTGAGTTTTCAGAAATTCTCTCACTCGGCCATTGCTTCGTCTGAGACTTGAATAAGGTATTCAATAGTGTCTGGCTAGTAACATCAAATAATGTAATAACTTCAGTCCAGAATTTCCTTTGAAAACGGGACTTTTCAACATCTTTATGAATCTTTGGCAGGCGGTTTCTGCCCAAACAGGAACATTATTGGTTCCGCGTTCAGATACAAAAGATGCTGTTGTACTTGGAGGGATATGATCTGTGACATAAATTCCATACAGTTCCTTTCCGTTCCTCCAAAGTCGGATTTCATACAGAGATGTTTCGGCAAGAGCTCTTTTATCCTCATCAGACCAAATAATCGGCACTAGTTTTGGAACAGGTATTTGAATTTCTTCATTATCAGAGTAGTCTATATGATGTCTCGGTCGGCACATATTGTCTTATAGCCAGGATTTGAAAAGGTTCATGCTTTGATGTTCGTGGTGTTCCGCTCAGAATTTGTGGTTATCTCCAAATCTCGCATGGTCTTCGCGCAACAATTGATGGTCACATGATAGCTATACTAGCTCAAGCATCGGCTCACTTTCATGTCACTTAGCAGTTCTCTTTTGACATCATTCCTATACGTGGTTATATTACACGGATGTGTAATTTATGGTTTGGCACTTGTATACCGATTGGGAATTGGATGCTTCGGGGCAGCGTATGTCACCCCCACCGATCTCATATTCATTTTTGAAACCCACGGGATATACGACTATTGTGGATACTTCAAATCAGGTATATACCATTAGTCTAATTAAGAATGTACAAAAGATTGCAATAGCAATAGCAACGAAAAGAAAAGAAAGCCTAAGCCATCTGGGGGCACGCCCCCTTCTAATAAACAACAAGCCATCCCTAAATAATTACAAATCAACCCTCCGCTCCATGTCTCAGTAACTTATGACCCTTAGCTTGCGGAGCCTCCATCTAATTTCCCGTCGTCTTCGTGTTATCACTCTTTAATTCTTCTTAAAAAGTGCACCCAAAGCCCCCAACTTTTCCTTGAAGCTCTTTCCACTACTCTTTCTAACTCTAATCAAATAGTATAACAAAACCGCCATGAAAATATTAAAAAAAATGTATGAGAAAACGATACCATAGTCTCTCCATCGAGTAGTATAGCTAATCGCTACCGATGAGAGGAATTGATCTGCATTGGATGAGGAACAGTATTGACAATCTGCTGTAGCTTCGGGGTTATAGATGGAGCCTCCAGCTGCTGTGGCATATGATTGGAGGTAGCTACCACAAGTATCGCCAGCGGGTGGTTGCATGACTGCGAGTTCATTATCGGAACAGATTACTTGACGACCGGAGAGGCCAGTAGATGCGATAGCTGAAACGAGATCTGAATATGTGTTAACATTTATATTGATTAATAAGGACAGGATGAAAAACTTACAAGTTAAAGGCGAAACACGATACATAAAGATCCAGAATCCAGGAAGAGCTTGTGGGGGTTGAAAGACTCCATTAAAGGTAAGGGTAAGTGAGAACATCAATGTTGCGATATTACCAGCAGTTTCAGCATCCGGAAGAGCGGAAATAAGCATATGTGCGAATGTGCTAGCAAAGACGAAGAATTGGATAAGAAGGAGGAGAATAAGTCCTTGACGATCTGATGATGGCATACCACTGTTGGTATAGATTGGATAAAAGTAGGACGCAAATACCATGATACCAAGGAGAATTTGATATGGAATTTCGACAACGATATTAGCGATGATGAAAGCTTTCCAGCTGTATGCTTTTGATGGTCTTTCTCGAACCTCATAAAGATCTCTTTGTAGAATGAATCTAGGCATGATTTGTTGTACGAGGGTGGTAAAGATAGTTGTTATCATGAAGATGGAGAAGATAACATCTTGAAGACCTTGTTGAGATGCATCGGCGTGGAAGAATGAAAATCCAATAAAGAGAGCAGATGCCACACCAAGAAGAATTTTGGAGTATATATAGCTCGGGGTACGCCAGTATTGTTGAAAGACACGCTTCGTAACCTCAAGAAGTTGAATAGCGAATGGCATGGCGAATTCGCCGTGGGAATTACTATCATCTTGAGATGACTGATGGCCCATTTCTTGTTGAATGCGTGAGATTTCTCTTTGAATACCTTTGGCTTCATCACTTTCTTTCCATACTTGATGCCTACATTGAATTAGTCTCAATCATATCAGGGAAATGAGGTTCGAGCTTACCAATCTTGAGTAGATTTTCCTTGTGCACCAGCGCCAACCATTGTCAGCATATATTCTGCTGGGTTCTCATCCTCACCACATTTGGCAGCACCATGAGATTCAAAATATTTGAGTAAAGTCTCCGAGTTATGACCGATGTCTCCAAAATAGACAGTTCTTCCACCTTTTGCTAAAAATAACAATCGGTCGAATTCTTGAAATAGAATAGCACTAGGTTGATGTATAGTAGCCAAGACCGCCTGACCATTATCGGCCAACTTTCTCAAAAACGAAACAATTGCCCATGAAGATTGCGAATCAAGACCAGAAGTAGGTTCATCCAAGAAGAGTAAGAGTGCAGGTTTGGCAGCCAATTCGACACCAATAGTCAATAACTTTCGTTGTTCCACATTCAACCCCTCGCCTGGAACACCAACCACTGCTTCCGAGAACTCCTCCATGTTTAACATCTTGATAACATCTTCCACGAAATCATACTTTTCTTTCTTGGAAACAGATTTTGGTTGACGTAGCATAGCGGAAAATCGAAGGGCTTCTCTAACAGTTGTAGTTTCAAGATGTAAATCTTGTTGTTGAACGTATCCGGTCTTTCGTTGAAAGGATGCGTCGAGGGGTTTGCCGCTAACCAACATATCACCTGTGATTACACCCATAGAGACTCTTTGGGCAAGAACATCAAGTAAAGTTGTTTTTCCTGCACCAGAAACACCCATCAAGGCAGTCAGAGTACCAGGCTTGACCCATCCAGACACGTTATCAAGAAGTCTGCGAGGTTCATTCTTGATCTTAATGTCGTAACAAACATCTTTCCATGTGAATACGTCCGTTTGGGGGGGCAATGCTTGAACTTCTTCTCCTTGTTTGTCTGAGTTGCCTTCCTTGACAGCAGAACCATTTCCGACATGTGCTTCTTCGTCGTTCTTTGCAGCTTTCTCGGCGGCCAATAAGTTCGTTGGGACATGTCCACGACGGAAGACTAAGACTTCGGCTTTACTGTCTGTGGATGCATTGAACTCTGTTGCAAGGAGGTAAAAAGCTAAAAAGAAAATCATGAACACAAACAAAAATCCCAAATTACGCCAGATGTGGGAGTAAGAGTATTGAAATTGTGCTTGCAAATAATCATCACCACTGACAGTATTCGAGCCAACAACAGAGCCTGCAACAGCGCAAATAAAGTTGGAGCCAGTTTGAACATAGCCGGGACCTGTTGGTACTAAGGTCGAACAAACAAACTCTTTTCCGTGTAGTTCATTGACGAATAAAGCTTCAAATACATATGAAACTGGATTGATCCATGAAATCCATTTGAACCAAGGATGCATAAGTGGTCTAGGAATGACGAAACCGGTATAAATGACAATCGCAAGTGTGGTCACACCAGCTATGGCTAATGCTTGGGATATAGTTTTCGTTGCTGCTGCAATACTGCGGTATATTTGACTCATCTAAAGTGTTCGTTAGTGTTGTGAAACTACTACCATGTGAAAGGAATACTTACCGTGAGAATTGCAACAAAATTAAAGAGGAAAAAGACAAAGAATGCACCTGCTTCCCTTTTCAGACCAGAGAGAAAGTATAAAATAACGTTGAAACCCGTGGCGATAGCGAATTTTACCGGTATATCAACGACAACACCAGCCAAAGCTTCAGTGAAAGGATGATAAAATGCGTAAGATGCTTGTTTCTCTACGATCGGTCGTTGAGAGTAGAGAGTGTTAATTTCCGAAATGGCGATGAGGGCATTGAGCAATACCGCGAAGAAAAGTACACCTCCTTTTTGAAAAAAGCTTGCTGTATTATCCGGGGTGTCGTAAAAGATAGATCCGATGATCAAAGCCATAACAATCTGTCCTACAATTGTGGTAACGGTTGATGTTTTGTCGTTCCATAAGCGTTGAACTGCTCGCTTTGCACAAAGTTTTGTCTGCATGATAACGCTGACTGTATATGGTGACTCTGGCCGTAAATGGTTTGCTTGCATACCCTTTCGACTTGCTTTGAATTGTTCCAATGTTTTGCCGCCCATAGGAAATTCCTCTTCGTGTGATTTGATTTCGCTCATCACTCTTTGAAAGATCTTCGAATCTTTGAAGTATTTCTCAAATTCTTCGGGAGTTCTAGGAACCTTTTTCTCATAGCCGGGTCTTACTTTTCGTTCCGTGGGGTTTGTGATCGAAGTCAAAAAGTCACCAGTGGTTTGACGGCTATATTCAGTCAGTTTTGCTCGAATAATTGCATGTAATCATGGCAATATGTTGTGTGCACTTACTTTGGGCACTCCCAACCCATATCCACGAAATACTGCTTCGCTTGGTCACAAGGACCATAATAGATCTGACGACCTTCATAAAGCACAATAGCTTTATCAAATTGATCATAAATCTGTTGACTAGCTTGATAAATGGCAACTAAATGACACGAGCCAGACAGATTGGCAGTCATTCGCAATGATTTTGTAAACTATTTCTTGAATCAGTGATGTGCTAGTGATCGCTACGGTGAAAGTTTACTTACCTCCAGAGCAGTTGCAGCATCCAAACCACGTGTAGCATTGTCCCATGAAGCAATTGGTGAACCAGCCAAGGCCATCTCAGCAATACTAACACGTTTCCTCTCACCTCCAGATACACCTCGTACAAAATCATTACCGACTTTGGTGTTGTACGTATGAGATAATCCATAAATAGCCATAACGACCTTAGTCATATGCTTTGCCCAAGCTGAACGAGTTGTTCCCTCAACAAGTCTTTGTTGAGGCGTTCGTACACTCGCAGCGAATTCCAAAGTCTCTCCAACAGTCAAATGAGGGAAATGCTTATCAACTTCTTGATTGTATACAATTTCACCTCGAAATTGTTTGAGCATTTGCTTCTGTGTGATACCTAGGGGTGTTAGCATTATCATGGTCAATGGGTGTATGAATATAACCAACCATTATAGTGAACTTCCGATTGTGATTTCATGTCCAATCCGTAAAGTTCCCCCATTAAAGATTTAAGAAACGTGGAACAACCGGAACCGGGTCTTCCGAGAACAATCAACATCTCTCCTGATTTCAAAACACCATTGAAATCATTGAGGATAGTCTTCTCCGGACCTTTTCCGACAAATTCTCTGAATCGTAAAGGCGCCATCAACAGAGAGGCGACATTCTTTTGCACATTGATTGCTGATCCGGAACCACACACTTTTAGATTCTTGAACACAATTCCAGCACGTCTTTGAATGACTTCATTCTCATCAGTCAGCCTCATCATCCTATATAGTATACAGTTAGTCCGTATCCAAATAATTATTTGATCATGCCAAAACTTACATTTTAGCCCATTTATATGCGTCAAAATCTGGAGAGTTGGGGTCCAACGTTGAATCCCCCAACTTAACCCCATACAGGGTATCTTTTTTCTCCAATTCATGTGCTCCAGCTGTAGCATTAGTAAAAGTTCTTCCTAGTTGAGAACCCCCGAAACCTGAAGCTATTTTCTCTAATTGTTCTCGGTCTCCTGCCCTTATTGATTCGAATTGTCTTTCTCGAGCAGTTTCGTTGGTTAGAACAGGCTCCAATGTGCTATCTGGATCTAGAGAGTCATCGCTGCTTGATGATGTCGCTCTTTCGACATCATTGTGGTGATACGACATGTATTGAGATTGAGGATCGAGAACATTATCTGATCTTTCGGGGAAATAATCATGAAGCTCATGATCCGAAGCGGAAGCCATAATTAATTGACACACTCGTACTGTGTGGTTCAAGCTCAATTGTCGAATGTGGATGTGGGGTATAGCTAATGTCGTCACTGATGATTACTGATAAGGATAGAATTATGGGATATTGATGAAAGTATTGACGATGGGTACAAAAGTTAAGACAAAGAGAAACCGTGAGCTAAATGTTCCTTTAGGCTTCCTAAATTATGACGAAGAGGTAAGAATAAGAATGCAGTTGAAATTAAGCCAGGTCAGATTCTTTTTTTCAATCGACATGAGGAGGGAGTTATATCTCTTGTATAAATAAATAAAGTCCTGCCAATTCAAAAGTCGACCATTCAACTCCCGTCAAATGAGTAAGTGGCTTACTCAATTGGTCCTAACATGACGGGGAACACACAAAGGGACTCACAGATTGTGTGATACCGGATCATAATTGATGTCCAATGTCCGCTCACTAATGAAAGTTTTATACATTCTCGACATTATATCATATAGAATGTCGACCCGAGCAAGATACGAGATACGAGATACCGGTACCTAGGTACCCAGATACTAGTATGGATACTCTAAAGTAGTGGGGGTGCTTCGCCCACATAATGGACATTCGGATAATGAAGAGCAAGTGTTGTCGATCTTTCTAGGTAATTCCTGTCAGAAATTCTTGACAGGAGATCGGAAGGACATGTGAACATGCGAATGAGTGTGATGATAGTGATAACAACTAGAAGATATGAAATCCAGGAATCGTGCAAACTTGACGACAGTATAGAAACTTTGGAGGGTAAAAAAGGGTCTAGGTAGGTAGCTTCTTCACCCCCAATATATTCCATTCTTTACAAGTATTACATGAGTAGCGTCTTCTCCCCAAAAGTATAGATAACTATCTACTTTTAATTGTGGAGGATTATTTCGTGATTCCCAGTTTATTCAGCTCACCGTACAGGATATCAATATTTGACAATACTTGACTTGACGGAAGCATATTCAGTAACTCCGTACCAGATGAATTCAAACCGTGCGTGTATAAGCTAAAAAGAAAGGAGTCAACTTTTGAACATAACTCCGCCGTTCTGGCGGGATAACAGGAGAGATGATGAAGATACTCGTACATCTACCTACTGGGTACATACTAGGTACATGTATCTACTAGATAAATATCTCTACATAATTATTGATAATAGAGTTGATGTATTTATGATTACTAGTAATTCCAATATGAAACAATAAAAAAAGGAGAAAAAAAAGTTGTTAAATGTCAATAAATAGCCCTGCCTTGCCACGTCTACGCGTACCCCTTCATGGAATCTCGTTTGTTTCCGTGCCTTAACTGATCTACACATGGGCTACTATTGAATTACCGGCAGTCAACACAACTGGACGACTGGTTACTGGTACTAACCATCATAAAAATAGTACGTACATATATATACCTATGCAGTCAGCATTATGACGAAAAGTCTAAACTTTATCTCCGTCATAATCCTTTTCATAAAATCCTGTCTTTTCTCCGGATTAATGTCCGTTTCTCCGTCTTCTATATCTTTACTCCGTACTGGTATCGGATGTGAATGCATCTTATCTATCCGGACCACTCTATTTGAAAATCATTGATCCAGAACCAAAAAGACTTGGATTCTTCACATTTTATGCATCCATCATGACACTTATGCATGACGTGACCGGAACACGGATGATATTGAAGGAGCTCAATAGGGCTGACACCAATAACACAAGTTACACAATTACGCCTTGGTAAAGCCAAGGATGATTAATCGCCCATCAGCCAATACGAAAGAAGCTTCCATTCGTTCGCGTTGGAAGGAATCTATCGCTCCGCGCCGAGCCTTCAGCCAGGTCGAGATTATTTTTCTATTTAACAATCGTCAGCCACTTACATCCGCCTAGACGCTATCAGTATATACTGGCTGCTTCATTCGATCGATTCGCATTTCAAAGTTCTTCCTCTACTTCCTCATCTACTCCATGCTTTGTAACGGCGATTGATCAGTTGAGATTAGAGGCGTTTGTTACCGATCCGACTTCATTCATTGAGACTTTAAGCCAAATCAGTTGAGTCCAATAAGGTACACATGATATTGATATACTTGAGAAGCTCTCTCTCATAAAAGAGCAGTGACATCTCTTTACCTATGTCTCAATGATCATTCTTTGCTTCGTCCTCTCATCGTTAGTCGCGACAAGGAACAGTAGTGTCACGTGCTCATATTGTCATCTGACTCGTGCACCTTCCCGTCACTTGACTTCAACACCTTAAAGCACTTTGGTAAGATGCCTTTTCCCGTCTACAACACAGTGGAGTTTGAGGGAGATGAGGATCGAAACAAAAAGCAAAGAAACGGGTCAACACATTCGCAATTTCAATGCTACGATTGCTTTTGAAATGAGAATTTCTTTGCATTGTGTTTCGAAGCAAGGATTCCCCTTTCAAACATGAGCGCCGTGTTCACTATGCATCATGTGCTTGTACACCAGCATGAAACTGCATTTTATCAATTCTGTATCAAAATCAAACAAATTCAAAGCGAAATGTTACATTCTTTCTTTCTCGAACGTTTTTGCTTCTTTTCCATATTTCCATCTCTGTCGAGTGAACTGAGATTCAAGAGATGGCCAACCACATATATTATGAACTCCCAGCGGATCCCATAGAAATTATTCCTAGACCTCTTACTTCATCACAACCACAGCTACAACCACCATCACAACAACCACCTTCATTGCCTCCCCGGAATTCTTCGGCTTCATCACCTGACGATAATGCGACGATTCGAGGTGTTCCTGGAGATGACCCATCTGCTATACCTCTACCACTCTTTACACGTCGATCGAATTCGAATCTCTTGAGTCAAACTTCAGCAAACTCTACTCACAATACTACACCAACACCTTCTCTAAACCGGCCTCCTATACCCACAGTTGAATCATACGAAAGCTCCTCCAATAATCCATCACCTCTCTCGCGTGACAGATCAGATTCAAATATCCATACCGGTCCAGCTCTTCCACCCCGAAGAATCTCTCAACACAATCCGAATGAAGTTTACTATACCCGAGATTCCCATAGAGTGGTCGCATATCTTATACCTCTTCCTAAACCAATCGATGTTTCTGATGCAGAATTTCCTCAGGTTCAATCCCCCTACCATTTCATATTGTGATTTCACTAATAGTCACTTAGCGCTATTTGATATATACACCACCCGCTGCTCATCTCCTTAAACCAGCTGAAGGCATTAAGGAAGGTAAACGGCATAAGGGAAAACGAGTCTGGCAGCGCGAGGTGTGTTTTTATCCTTTTGCGAAGTGTGTAATTTGATCACATGATCTTCAGCTGACCATCCTTTCACCATAGGTCAAGAAAGCCAAAACTTATGACGGCAAAACGATGAGTCTTAAAGGACTTCATAGTAAAACCACCAGAGGAGTAGTCTGGGGAATTAATTCCATCAAAAATACAGACATAACATTTCTCAACCGAGTGCCTCGAAAAGGTATTTTCTTCCTTACCCATCTCTCGCCAGACCTAAACTAATCCTCTACCCTTTCCTTAGAAATCGAGGAACTCCATCTGATACACCCGCCCACCATCCCTTATTCACCCATCGAGCTCCGCAACCAATTCCTCTCCCAACTAACCCGCACCAAAACCCGAGCTAAAAAGCATGCTGCGATCTCTACTCTTCTCCTCCTCCCAACCCTCCTAATCGACACATTCGCCGCCGTTATCTGGCCTTTCGGTGGTCTCTTTGAAGTAGACGCCGTATGGACTTTCACCTCCGTTCGCGGTTACCTCGTATCTCGCTCCGTAACCAAAAGATTATCCTCCCAAGACACAATTCACGATCACGAACAAATGCGCATCCAAGATCGGGAATTATACCTCCGCTTTCATAAATCTGAACAATTGAAAATCTTAGAAAGATATGTCAAAGAATTATGTCATAAACAAAATCCGAAAAGATTTGCAAGTGCGGGGGTGCCGCCGACGGAAACGGAGGTCTTGAAAGCGATGGGATGGGAACCGGATATGAGGGGGAGGGTTAAGAGTGGAGAGAGGGGGGGAATGCCGGAGGGTGGGATGAGGGATTGGGATGATGAGAGGTGGCAGGAACGAGAGGCAAAAGATGATTTACTGGGGGTTCTGGGGAAGGGTGCAAAGAGTTGGGATGGATGGTGCAAGAAGTGGGAGAAAAATCCTAAGAAGGCGGAAAAAAAGTGAAGGGATGAGAGTTGTGGAGGAGTGTAATTGAATGTATGATTTAGCGTAATGTAATATATGAATTTATGTTCCTAGTTGAAACTTGAACCAGTACTCGGCTACGTTCTTGTTAGTGAGAAGAAGTATAACATAGGAGTAGAAGAGAGCCCGATGAAGAGGCGAGATTGGTCGAAACGAATAGACTCGTGAGATGATTCTTAGCAGGGTGAATAAAAAAATTCATGTTGAGGCAAACGGGAAAAGCCAGTTTTGCCAGAGATCCGAATTCTCCTGTGTTTCGAGAACCTTTCATGGACGTTCAATTCATTCAGTGACTTCAGATCCCAGAATGCTAACCTAATCTGCTATTAGGAGAAATATGATTAATGTTTCTTTCAATAGGCCTAGTGTGTGGAAATTCCTTGAACCAAGTCAATGTTGCTAGTTCATAGTGAATTGTCACCTGTTCTTCTTGATAATTTCAATGTGAACTTGAAGTGGGTGATGAGAATGAAGTCTTAAATTGTGCTTTTATGTTTTAGTCGTAATTCTGGTGGGGGCTTATGAGAGCGAATTCTATTTAATGAATAGGAGAGAGAATAGGAGAGAGAAAAGGAGGGAGAAAGAAAGAGGGAGAAAGAAAGGGAGAGGAAGAGAAAGAGAAAAAGAAAAAGGAGAAGGAAATCAGTTTATAGACAATGAAAAGCCCTGAAAATCCGCCTACGCAAATGAAATTGACTGTAGCCACGAGCCGGCGTCTGAACTCGGGTTTAGCTTGACTTCTCACCTTTTCTGAGTAAATCATGCGCGTCATGCATCGATGTTGCAGGAACCCAGAGCCGTTTTGATTAACAATGGAAAAGAGATATTCCTGCAACAATGCTAAATAGAACAGTCCCCTTCCCCATGGCAAATTTATGGTGTGTGACAATGCTCCAAGCAGCGGAGGTCTTGTGTAAATAGAATTGATGGCCAAGTCGTCTCCGAATAAATGTTGTGAAACAAAATCAAATAAGAGATAATTATATGCAGTGCTCTCTCTGGCGATGAAGGCTGTGTAGCTCTACGAAGTTATTAAAATAATCTGACAGTCGTGTATCGTAAGCGAAAGAAGACTTAGTAGATGAGCAGTTTAATGTCATACTCAGGACCTGGGCTAGATTCCACTGTGAAGATTCGAAAAATCAAATGGCTGCTTGGATGAGAATTTCTCGCACCATTTTTTTTTACCACACACAGTGGGCACTACTACCCAGATAGTGTCGAGATTAGGGATTGATGGCTTGTCAAATTACCAGCCCAAATATGGAGATAAACAACCAGTGATACCATACGCATGGTCAATAGAAGCCGATAATGGCGATAAACTCTTTAGATCGATAACTTGGTTGACCTGCTCAGAGAAGAATGTAAATATCTCAACTTGGTTCACTTTTTCACGTTCACTCAGATACCCATTGATTTTTGATATCAACATCTCCCAGAAAGCATCTTCAGCTGTCTCCATATTTCCAATTCCAAGAGCGGTCGGTATCGATTTGTTTATCGTAATTTCGGCTTCCCGAAGCCGTTCTTTGGCGTATGACTTGTTTCGTCTCGTGGTTTTGCTGAATGATTTGAGCCCGCATCGAATCATGCTTCGCTTCGGGCCTGGCGCTTAGCTTTTCTGAAAATCTTTGAAAATTCAGTAAGTTTCGCACCAGAGACTTCTTCGGAGTCACTAGATGTGCCCATGTTGGTGACCATAGAGGTTGGAGACTTGTCTTTTTCATCATCTCAGTCCCAGACTCTCAAGACTTTCGTAACTTTTCCAGGCTCGATGCTGCGTAACATCTTATCAAAATCGAGTTCGCCCATTCTCGTTATGATGGCCGGCGATTTAAATACGTTTCTCACTGGACTTACGCTATTGATAAAACGGAATGGTGCTAGCTTTTTGGTTAATCTTCTTGAAGGGAATCTGTTTCGTATGCCTTGTCTGTCCGAAGAAATGATGTAGGGGTTTGTCGGGAACTGTGGAAAATTTGATTGTTCGTACGCTATCTGCTCTCGCAAAGCTTGTGCTTGCTGCTGCGAAAGGTTAGAATATCCATAGCGCTGTGGCGATTCGGATTGTTGCCATTGTGTCTGTTCATGGCACGGCATAAGAGGGCTAGCCTGAACCTCGTCCGTAAAGCCATTGGTCTTGTGGGACAGAATTAGGATAATAGTAATCATAGGCGTTAGAGGCTGATACGTGGTAGGCACTTGAGCTCCCATCATAGGTAGTAGTGTAGTGTGGCAATGAAAAATGTTGCTTGAAATTTTCTGACATTGTCGATGAAATAATGCGACTTCATTAACACCCTCTAGAGATTCACATAATTATTATACTTCCATTCGTAAAACTTGAATGTCTTGTCCTGCGTGTCGTCTGCTGATATGCCGCTTAATGTTGTCAGCTCGAACTGAGCCTTTGTAGCCATTAGTATGGGACATATCACAATTTCTTGCCGAACAAAAATGAAGCAAAGGGCCAATAATGCTATGAGATGCACGATGTCGTTCGAGGTCTCTGTTTTTGCGAATGGCTTTTGTGAGCAGCCGGGGAAATCGCATTTGAGATTTGGATCGTGAATCTTGAGATGTCGCCTTGTATTAATAGTTAGTATCAAAGCTCGAATAAGATAAATGCCTCGGCTTATTCTTCCAATACTCTGAAATAAACTTGACATGGGAGAAATTCTATATTGTACATCGACATGTCTAAAGTTGGTCACAAAATCTCAAGAAAATGTAAAGCCACGAGCATTGCGAACGTGAATTTTGTTACGTCGCCTTTCGTAAAAGGGGAAGGGACGTCTTTTGTGTAATTTGAAATTCAACCAGATAATTAAAAAACGATCATCGGAGCTTACATGAGAATAGCTTCTGTATTGCAACCTTTCTGACAAATAGTGCAAAAGTGCTTTGCATCTTTAGTAGTCTTCTTTCCTGAACTCTCTTGTGGAGAGCTCCCAGAAGAAACATTTGTCGGAAGATAAGGATAGCTACTTGGAGTGACATCGGTTTAGTTGTAGGCACTGTTGTCCAAGGCAGGAGTTCTAGCATATGATTGCGCGTAACAAGGCTCATCACGTGGGCGGCTAGAGCCAGAGCCCATATCTTGGCGATCATCGACGTCTGCATTTGGAAGTGTTTCAAAAGGAAATATAGACGGTGATGCATCGGTAATCACGGGTGGGATGTTGTAAGTATCTTGCTGTGATTCCGAGCTCGGCTTATCGTTGAAGAAATTGAGAAATTCTGAACATGGATCGTTGTCGAATTGTTCAAAATCACCCGAATTGAAGTTTGTGAAGTCTAGAGGGTTGTCGTAGAAGTCGTCGTTTCTACCTATAATTGATTGAGCAAAAGGGTTTCATCACTCACACCAGTTTACATACCTAATTGCAAATCATCATAACTCGAGATAAGTTGCTATGCGGAGATCCACGTCTCCGCTCGTCAAAATTAGATCTGAGATCTTGCAGCAAAATGCTGTCAGATCTCAGTTTAGAGGACTAGATGTCCCTTATCTCATAAAATTTTGATAAATATAATGAAAGGGAGCAATCGCGAATCTTATGTGCATTCAAACGGAGGCCCTGCGACTCAACTCTTAGGGGTGGCTGCGCACATAGATTCAGACGGCCAATGATAGATATTGCTACCCAGTGTGACCTTGTGGCTGATTCATCAACCAATAAAAATGGTAAAATCATAGCGAGGCCTCCGGACAAGGGGGAAATGAGGCTGTAGATGGCAAGAAAGCTTTCTCTGATTGGTGAATAAAGAAGGGCGAGACTTCTGTTAGATAAGATTTATTGAGGTACCACACTTCGTAGTTTTAGTAGAACTCATAATAATCTTCAAGGTGTACGTTTAATGGCGCTCGGAGGACATCACATGACCGCGCTAGCCACTCTCCCACTTCCACATCAAATTCGTTAAACACAAACCAGCATTTAATAACACTATACCACGAACGAGACTGTAACACAAAGAACCAGATCACAATCAACACTAGCTAATTCTATATAACCTAGGCAATTATCCAATAATCAATTGAGGGTGGCTAAACGTTTTTCGAAGTACAACAGAAGCATCTTAAACCACCACAAAGTCCAAGCGCGATCCAACAGTACGTACGTTTGACATCGTGCGAATCCTCCACTTTGGTACCACCAACCACAGATCTGACCTCGCTTCGAGAGCCCCGGGTCTTGGGTCATATCCCCTTCCAACATTTTCCCCCGCACTCTAAAGGCATGTGTTCTTAGATGTAATCCCAACGTTTCTTGCTTTTATTACTTTTTTTGATTCGTAGCGCCGGAATTTTATGTAAAACAAAAGGCCTCTTTCAAGGTCTGGTCAAGGATCGTTTGACACTGCTGCGATCAAGGCCATGTGCGCTCGTGTTACACTATTCGGTCGCTCGCTTGGCCCTGCAAATGACCCCTCTTTCCACAATGTTGGTACCAAAATATGTTTTTACATTCTCCGTTTACACGGGAATAGCCCAGTCCATATCCTGAGTATCAGACTGCTTTCCATAAAAATACAATCCTCAACAGAGACCTGGTGCAAATCCTAAAATTCCAAGGAAATGTCGATTCATCTATTGTAGCTCTGTGTGTGGTAACTCATCGGAGAGCGTTTCATGTGCACCAGACACAGGATAGCTGACGGTATGAGAAAGCGGCATTGGTACTGCGATTATGGGTGCTGAAAGGACGAAGAGAGCAACGGCAAAGATAATTCTGGGGGAATTGAAAGTAGTGTTTGGGAATTGCATTTTGAATGAGTTAATTGTGGGTATGAATTCTGGTTTTCGATTAGCTGTGAGTATTATAAGAGAGGAACGAGCGTACTCTTTGATATTGGAATCGAATGATAGAACTTTCTCCTTTCTTTACGATTTACTCCGTTGGACTTTGAATGACCACAAAAAGTTGAGATTATAGTTTTTAGTTTCTCTTCTTGCCTATGGAAATTCGCGAGTACTTATGTATTCAATTCTAAAACCTCTGACCTCTTCGGCGTAGATTTTTTGTTGGGATCGGGCGGTTATGAGCAATATCAATCTTGACATAAGATACCCACTTGAATATATCTGGCCTTCAGAAATTGTTCTTTTATTAAATATCAGTAGCCATGAATAGGGTGATTCAATGCGCTACGAAAAGTATCAACTAAAAATCTTATTGAAAGTCGAAGTGAAGAAACCAAGGATGCCTTTGGAAATCTGGAGCGAGAAATATTGAGCAATATTTGCTCCTTCTTTTGTGAAGCCTGGCACAAATAAACACGTTCTTCCCTACATTCCAACTATCTCTGTTGTGAATTAGTTCACGCGTTTTAATGGTGGGCGTATTGAGGAATGTAATACTTTGGATATTGCTTGGCATGTACCTTGAAAAATATGTTCTGTCTCAGAGTCACTTAACCGTCAGACGTGGTATCAGTGAAAGTGGTATAAAGACGTTTTCCTAGATTTCACTCTGATATCAAGTCAGTTCAGGAGATGTGATGGATATTTGACAAAATAACCTAGTCAAGAATCAATAACTATTCGATACAAAGGAGACCATTTTATCTCCTCTCATTACACATTGGAGAATTTTGGATATCCCGCACGTCACTTAGAAACAGACACTTGAAACTTTCTATGCTGCATGCGCCACATTTTGCCAGAAAAACAAGCGTGATGTTAATTATAAAATAATACTTGACAGCTGAGGTTGGCGAAACACAAACTGTTGCTCTTGGCAATTTAAACCAATTGAAGATAGAAGGACCGTTATTTACCATGCATGATTTCTTGAGACCGAGAGCGAGACCGAGAGCTAGACTGATGAATGTAGGCAAAGAAATGTTGGTTAGTACACAGCATTACGAATGAGATATCTAAAAATTTCTCGTGTTGGCTTCTCGTGTCAGCCCGCTGAAAAAAGAGACGTTCGGGACCAATGATTCTACATGGAATGAAGAGTCAAGAGTTAATAAATCAGCCCTATCATCTGCAAACGCGCTACGAGAAGAGCCATGGGGTTTGATAGTGAATGTAGCAAAAATACGTTTGACACGACGACCTCCAAGTCGGTTTGTCAGATAGTTTACTAGAGATTGAAATGTTTGAGTCTTTTGAGAAAGTTTTGTGCTTCTAATAAGTAAGAGATCTAAGCTTCGAAACGAGAGACTTCTCAGTAGATAGATGGTCGCATTATGCCATTCAGTTTTGGGTGTCCAGTCAAGCGAAAAGCGAAGCCAAGGCACAGGATAGGCACAAAAACGACGTAGGTAGGCGAAGTGGAAAATGTTCAAGTAAGAATCAGTATGAAGCGAAGGGTAGAGTGCCCTGGCCTAAGACGCGTGAATGGAACTACCAACATACAGCCCTCTTATTGACCGAAGGTGTGGGACTAAATATACGAGGTGAAAACAAGAGATGAAACAGCGAAGTTCAGGTGAACACTGCACATTCAAGGGTTAAGGAGGCAAGCTTTCAGAGCCCATATTCATCCTGTCATTGCAGGACAAAGGATATGAATACAAGTTGGAGGTATTTTAAGATTAGCGGAGATGCACATGTTCTAGAGCAAATCCTTGACTTGTAGTTAACTATGCTTGGGGTAATAAATATATCTCAAATTGAATCCAATATATAGTGTGTATCTGTGACTGCATTTTCACCTTTTGTAGATGAAGATAGCTGACTAACCTGATACGGCTTTCCTTCTTTTCTTGCCTATCAAAATTCTCTCCACTACATGACTGCCATGTATAACTTTGTAGGCGAAGTGAATTTTCAATATTCACTCGAACTAATTTCCTCAAGTTGCTCCAAGAATATGAAGACCTCATAGAAGAGATGCTCATCAAAGCGGCGTCCACTTAGAATCAAATTACCTTGTCGAATGAAAGGCGCAGTTCTCTCTCTGAAGCCGTATTGGCTTAAACCATACTATGTTTCCGAGATATTTGGTACAGTACTCCCGTGAAAGATTCACCGGTACGGTACAGCCTGGTATCTCAAGCTTTTCAATCCCCATAAAAGGATGAGCTCTTTCCCGCATATAATTTTAGTTTCCATCAATACAACATTAGAACAAACCCTTAGACTCTTCACGCAAGAAAGCACCACGTCTGACCCTTTCTCTGTCTCTTTCTACCTCGGTACATCCTCAAATCCACTGTAAGTGAAAAGAAACTTCTTTTGACGAGCAAATAACTGACGATACTTCAGCTCAAATCACAATCGAAACCCTAAAACCTACTACACAACTTCAACATGCTCTTCCTTAACCCGAGCCACATCATGCCAAGCATGATTGGACTTCTCTCATTCCTCTCAGTCACTGTCCCATTCGTCAACGCGACCCCAATTGTCTCCAAGGTAGTTTCACTTGCACCTCGCGCCGATCCTGGATTTACATGCCACATGGCTCCTGAAAACTACTGCACCATCGGTATCACTGTAACTCCATCGAGGATCGTCGAAGAACAGCCTGAGTTCATTTAACTATTTGATAGTTACTGTAATAGATATGGATTCATGGAATCGGGTTTCAATATCGACATGGCCAGCCGTCTTCCATATAAGATTGTCGGAACACTATCAGCCGGAGAAAGTGCCATGGAACGCATTGCAACCAACCCCAGCATTTGCTATGCTGGTAGATGTTGGGGATCAAATGATCCTTGCTGGTACATTGTCCCTATCGGCAATGGAAAAGACCAGTGGCAAAATGTTTGTGTATTCCAATGCAACAAAATGAATACCCGCCGAGACAACACAGTTGAGGCCATTGATGAAGCATCAGTTGATATTAAGGTTCTTGACGAACCAATCGAGGCTCGTGATGGAGAAATCATTGAGACTCGTGATGGAACAATCGGTCGTCGAGGAGATCTTTGCCATCATGCCGATCCTGGCTACTGCACCATTGCCGTCACAGTCACACGTTCAAGACTTGCTGCGGGAATTACGGATGATATGGTTTACCTTTTTGATAGTTCTTGCCGTCAAATTGGAGGCATGTTTTCGCATCAAAACATTAATATGGCCAGTCAACTTCCATATAAGATTGTCGGTCACATGGCATTTAACAACCAACGTCTTACCGCCTTCCCTGATTTCTGCTATGCGGGAAGATGTACCACTGCGTATAATGGTTGCTGGATTCATTCCGATATTGGCGATTTTCAATGGGTCAATCGTTGTCAATTCCCCTGCAATTAACCACAATATTGACCGTTGAGCACACGAATGATTCAGCAATGCCGATGGGAAAGTAGGAAAACTGGATCTATCGAGGTGATCGACTGATTAAAGAAGCAGATCAATCAGCATCGCTGGCAGATAAGCATATGAATTGCTTTTTGCATGGATTTGACAGCGTATGCTGATTTCGGGTATTTCTTTTGTTATCTGATGGCAGGTCTGACATCTCAGGAAGTTTGGGCGTCATGGTACTAATGATTGATTTGGTTTCGCATGTTGAGGTGCTCAAGCTTTTTAGCGTCGGAGTTTATATGTGGCGGATCGGCTGATGAGCGGATGGGTGCTTCCCAAGGTGAAAACCTATTTAGACTCGAAGAAGCTACGAACAAGTCAATCATAAAGAAAATACATCAAAATCACATTCTACTTTCGAAACGTGAGATTGTTTATGCAATATGTAGAGAGCTTCCATTACTTTTGATTTGAAATGCAAAAATGGAAAATGTAGAATCAAATTACGTGTACAACGAATGTACCTAGGTAAAATGTAGGGAAAACGAGAAATTTGCCCCTAAATGAACGATGTATTGATAGTTGTACCTCGGTTCATTCTTAGTGGTGCATTGGATTTCCTCAACTACTGAGTCAATCACACCACACCGAAAGAACTTTCCTCCAGTTTCGGTCCTACTGATCCCTTTAAAAAATCCTTTAAAACAAAATTATAAATAAAGTTTTTACCTTGGCAAAGCGTGTATCCTATAGTGAACCATGGTTATTATACTAGAAACGCATAGTTATCAGTGCCGCATTCCGTGCGTCACAGGCGTTGTCGATCTAGAACAGCCGAAGAATGATCTTGAGCCCCCAAAATCACAAATTTTCCTCCCATTTGGTTGGTTGTCTGGCGGTAAACATTTGAATCTATGAGAAAAAGGTAGAAAGCCCTTCAAACTTGCCGAGGTTAAGTGATCATTTCTTGATGATACGGCCGCAGTGGGTCGCTAGTTTTGTGGATTTTATGTGGATTTACATCATACTAATCGCTAGAACTTTCATCCTACCCGGAAATTATTCAGTAGTGAAGGGTACCAAATAATAACATAATAAGGAGGCTGTCTCGCACCATGGATCTTATTCTTCATCCATCTCAAAGATTGTGATCGTCTCTCAGTTCAAATTCTCCATAAGATTTTGGATCTTTTGCGTGCAATATGTTCGACTTAGCACCCCGCCCCGATGAACCGATCGTTATCTCAACGACCCATAAATCATATCGATTAGGAAAAGATAGAGGATTGCCCCCTCATCTTGTTGGTGAACAGAGCAACTATCTCGTCGAACTAACAGATGAAAATGACCCTGCCAATGCAAAGTCATGGACTTTTGGGAGGAAGATGAGAACTGCTGCAGTTCTTGGATTTGATACTCTTATCGCATCATGGGGTTCATCTGTATACTCAGCAGCTGTGGCACCAGTTGCCTACGAATTTGGTGTCAGTGAGGTTGTGTCTATTCTTGGTTTGACTTTATACATCTGTGGTTTTGCAACCGGTATGTTATCCTCTTAATTTGTACCTTGAACATCATGGCTAATGAACATCTTACAGGTCCCTTGTTCTTCGGTCCAATATCTGAACTCTATGGTCGAAAGAAACCCATAACTTTAGCATGCTTTGTTTTCACTTGCTTTATGTTTGCAGCGGCAACTGCCAAGGATTTCCAAACATTGATGTTATGTCGATTCTTCGCAGGTGTCTTCGCCTCTTGTCCTTTGGCTGTCGTCGGTGGCGCTTTCGCTGATATGTTTGGAAACGAGACCCGAGGTATTGCTATTGCTGCTTTCTCGGCATTGGTGTTTATCGGCCCCTTCATCTCGCCTATCGTTGGAGCATTCATCACCGTATCCCACCTTGGTTGGAGATGGACTGAATACATCACTGGTATCATGGGTGCTCTCGCTTTCATTCTCGACATCTTGTTCCTTGAGGAAACATATGCCAAGACACTTCTCCAAAGCCGAGCAGGAAAGATTCGCAAGGAAACTGGTAACTTCGCCATTCACCATATCAGTGAAGAAGAGATCATCAGCTTCGATGATCTTGTCAGAAAGCACTTGTTCCTTCCATTCAAGCTTCTCTTTGGAGAACCAATTGTATTCCTCATCACAATCTATACCGCTTTTATCTATGGTATCTTGTACCTTTTCTTGGAAGCCTACCCTATTGTGTTCGCCGAATACCGTGGAATCGACCCAGCAGTTGCAACACTACCATATTTAGGAATGATCATCGGTGTTCTCTTCGGTTGTGGTATCGTCATTGCCTTCGAGCCAAGATATAATCGCAAACTCAAGGCAAACGGCGGTATTCCAGTTCCAGAGGAGAGACTTGTTCCAATGATGGTTGGTGCTTGTCTATTTCCTTGTGGTCTATTCTGGTTTGCATGGACAGGAAACTATCCATCCATCAACTGGGCCGCTCCAACTGTCAGTGGTATATTGACTGGAGCTGGTATTATGACCATCTTCTTACAAGCTTTGAACTACCTTATCGATTCATATTTGTTTGTCGCTGCCAGTGCCATCGCTGCCAATACCTTCCTTCGATCTTTCTTCGGTGCTGGATTCCCATTGTTTGCCACAGCAATGTTCCACAATCTCGGTGTACAATGGGCTGGTAGTTTGTTGGGTTTCTTGGCTATCGCATTTTTACCAATTCCTTTCTTGTTCTACAAGTATGGTGAAAGATTGAGAAAGATGTCTCGTCATGCTCCAACCGATTTCGGTGTACCTAAGAATCAGCCAGTCGACGAGGAGACTGGCACTGCAGTTACCACTGCAGCACCTTCGATTGAAGAGGAGAAACCAGAACAGGTGGTGTAATGCAATGTATTATGATGGTAAATACACTGAGATTTTGGATGGAATGACTGATATGAAGTATACTTGTCTATGATTATTTTTCATGAGATGATTTAGCATCGTTGCATTTTGATGGCGTCGTTGGTATCAATACCCTGGTAGAAGCGTTGCATTTTTACATAGAATAGAACTTATACACCTTAATTTATATATCATATATTAGAAACAAACCGCAGTTTTTGGATTCATATGTGAGATCTCGATCGTGAGGTGTGAGGCGCGAGCGAGAAGAGAACGAGCAAGGAAACAGATTTGATCCGTATCACGTGACAGGTACAAGATTGCCCTGATTTTTTGACCCTGCAACAACGGACTGTTCTCGTTCCTATCTTCACCACCATGTATCATTACCCCGCTCAGGTTTTCAATTCGACATCTATCAAGAGATGGCAGGCATATATACCCGCAGTCTCATGCATTATGCACGTTGGAATCGATCTGGTTAGGGCATCACATGGAGTGCATGCTGCTTATTTGGTGGAGATACTAGCCTCATTGATAACCGCGTCTGACACGCCCATCTTATAGTGTGTCACTCTCATGGCTATATATCCTCACGATTCTCCCAAACTACATGCAGATTTCTTTGTTGAAGTCTCGTTAAAAAAATGCGTTACTACATTCTGATTTTCGGAATTTTACTCAGTCGAATACCGTTTTGCGGGATCCTAACAGTGTTTCTCACAACAGCGCTCATAGTCAATCGATATCTCGTATGGTCTTGCCTTCGCCATATTCCTGGACCACGATTGGCACCATTCTCAAATTTATGAAAGCTAAAATCAGCATTATCTGGCAGAATGCCAGAAGCGTTGAATGATGTGTGCGAAACATATGGTTAGCATACCTTGATTTGACTCGAAATTTACCATGCTTGTTCAGTCTGGAAGGCTCATTGGCACGTATCGGACTAAATGATCTGATTTGTAGTGATACTGATTTCATTCGACGTATGGGTACTGCAAAGTTAGGATATCGTCGATCGAGATTTTATAGTTCTTTCGCTTTCAATCCTGATCAAGATACTATATTATCGACTGCAGATGAGAAAATTCATGCCGACCTGAAAATGAAGACTGCTGCAGGTGTAGGTTATTCACTTCGAAAAGCCTAGCTATGGGAGCTGTATTGATTCCCTTGACTAGTATTCGGGCAAAGATGTTGAAAACCTTGAACAATCAATTGATAGGCAACTCAATGCATTCATTAATTTGATTGAGCGAAAATATCTTTCAACGCCAACCAGTTTCCGACCCTTTGAAATTGCTAAGAAGATTCAATACTTCACATTGGATGCAATTACAGATGTGGCTTTTGGGACGCCTTTCGGGTGTATTGCTCAAGATGACGATATGTATGATTACATCAAGACTGTTGAACAACTACTACCGGCTGCTGTAGTTGCAGGAGTCTTGCCGTGGTTGTTAACTCTATCACGAAGTTTTATTTTCAAACGATTTCTACCATCAGAAAAAGATAAGCTCGGTTTTTGAAAATTGATTCATTATGATTGTTACACCCCTATGAGGAGAAAAGGCTAACAAGTTATAGAGTTGCAAAAGTTATTGTTGCGAAGCGATTTGGAGAATCAGAAGAGGTCCAGAATGATATGCTTGGTTCTTTCATTGCCCACGGACTCACTCAAGAAAAAGCCAATTCCGAGACACTGCTTCAGGTGTTTGTCTCAACGATCTTCTTTTCATTTTCATGGGCCTGGAAAGCTAATACTAGGATAGAATCGCTGGTACAGACACGACTGCCACGGCAATTTGAGCTATGTTACTTCATATTACAACTTCTTCAACTTGCTATACGGTCTTGTAAGCTGCTATTGATGAAGGCGTCAAAAATGGCAAAATATCTTCCCTGGTAACTGATAATGAAGCAAGAGCCATTCCTTATTTGCAAGCAGTTACCAAGGAAGGTCCTCGGAAGTTTCCTGTAATCGCTGGACTTCTACCAAAAATGGTACCTGAAGGCGGCGATATTATTAATGGCTTTAGTATCCCAGCTGGAACAGACGTTTCACTTAGTTTAACTACTATTACGCATTCGAAAGCTACGTTTGGGCCAGATGCACATATTTTCAGGCCAGAAAGGTGGCTCGAAGGTGGCGACAATGATAAACTAAGAACAATCAATCTCGCAGCCGATTTAGTATTTGGATCTGGGAAATGGTCTTGTTCCGGGAAGAATATAGCTATGATGGAAATGGGAAAGGTTCTTGTGGAAGTAAGTTACCTTGACAGTAGGGAATCCAACAAACTGACATCACAAAGTTATTCCGAAGATTTGATATATCCTTGGTAAATCCGACCAAGCCGTGGAAGTCGTTCAGTGCCGGGGCATATATACAATCCGATCTTTTAGTTCGGTTCGCGAAGAGAACACATTGATAGATGAGGCCGGATACCTTGCGGATACTTCAGCGAGGTCCAAGATTTCAACCCAAGGCATCGTCGCAAATTTGACAAACTTCACCTGGAAGCAATCATATCTAAATATTGACATATTCATTTACAGCAAAAAGTCTTGCCATAGTTATTCACCTCTGAATGGTAATCGAGGCACCAGTTGCAGCACGTGCTTGAGATCGTAAAGTTAATTTTTCTTTTTATTCTATCGATCACCGTACAAAGGTTACGTCTTTCGAATCATCACATGACTCGTACTTTCGTGTCACTTCCATTCTACATGTGTCGAATACTTTAACAATCCAAATGACTAAATCACCACTCCTGTGATTCACATGCTGTGAATATGCGACAATGATTCATAATACTCCATCTGTATTCTATTGTGTTAGTCACTTTGATACAAAGCCGAACCGAATCTTTCTACTCGCAACCATACAAAGTAAAGCCTTCGAAGCTCATGGATAGATTTTTTACCATACCGAGTCTATCCATTTCATCTAGCACTGTAGAGCTTTTGCAGCCCATGTCACTTGTTTCTCTTCATTTTCAATAGCAGCATGGCATTTTTTAGTACTCACGAACAGCGCTCATTTTTTTCACCATGCAACAGTCTCCCAAACCCCCAGATAATTCCCTGCACAATCAGAATCGCACCTTATCCTTCCACTCCCTCCTAAACCTCGCATCTCTAAGTCCTTTACGTAACTTTTTAGCCCGCGCTCCCATTTCATCAAATAGTTCATCCACCTCCTCAATCAGCACACCAGCCCCTTGTATTCCTCAGATTCACCCTGGCGAGTACGAGACCTACAAATCCGTCAACAAACTCCTTTCGACATTCAACTCTCGTTCCATCGCTAAAGCCCGTCGGGCAAATGCCAAATCCAAAGCCCAGCTTCTCCATAATGAAGAGGAAGATACATATCGTAGTATTCACTGCGGCGATCAAAACTGTTGTTTTTCCTCTCCCTATTCAGTTTATCGCACACGTTCAAGCCTATCCTCATCTATTACGCGATCTAAAAATATCCGATCACAATCTCGATCTCGATCCGTTTCGAATCCAAATTTACGGCTCGCCAGTTTGAAAGGCGATGAGAAATCCTTAGCCCCGTCTGTTTCTTCATTATCCCTACATCCTTTTCGCAGATCCCTTACTATTACTGGAAGTTCAAAACGGTCGACTTCTCTTTTTTCAGGAAGTCCACCGCCATCGGGAGAATCGCTACGGCCTTTGTATAAATATCCTGAGCCGGTTGGACCGAGAAGTTCTAGTTGGTTGAATGGACAGCTAGGTATGGGGGTGGAGAGGTCGAAAAGCGTTAGTTGGACTCTAGATATGCCGGTCAATCGTCGAAGAAGGGACAGTCAGCATTATCGACCGAGTAGCTTATCTCGATTTTCATGGACGGCAGAGGATATTGAATTGGGTTTGATGAAAGAAAACATAACTGTGAAAGAGAAAGGCGAAAGGGAAATTGCGTACGAATGGGATGGAGCTTTTGGATGGACACAAGCTTGTAAGGAATGTGGAAGAGAAAGATGTGTCAAATGCTCAGGGATTGTGTTTGAACAGATTGTTGAGGAGGGAGAGACCGTCACTGGGGAGGAAGGGATATTTAATATTTGTACGCCGTGTGTACATGGGTTTTGTCCAGGGACAAAAATGTGGTTGAGAATTAAATGTAGGACGTGTGGAGAAGTAGGATGTTTAAGGTGTAGTAAGATATATGTGATGGAGAGTTAGGGTAGTTAAAACATATCAATAACGTACATAGAAATGAGTGGGTCGAATGAATGATACTCAATTATCAAGAATATAATGCATCACCGAATCTTTCTGCTACTGTATTTTAGAAAGAACCGGCTTCAGACTCATTCATGATAGAATTTTGCAGATACCCACACTAGGGGGCTAAAAGCAAGAACTGAATGCACATAAGAGCAGTCTTAATAATAATCCAATGACAAGGTCTGTATGTATCAAATTACTTGCTTAAGCAAGCTATGTAGATTGCAGTATTATACTTCCTGGGGAAAGGAAAAGGTGTCAGGCGATAGACGTAATTTGAATGATAATTCGACGAGCATGAACACTTTCTGATTCTTAAATCAAAACATTAACATTCATCCCGCCCCTTTAGTAATCATGTAGCTCATCGCTCTCACCACATATTGCAGGTGGACCACAAAATTATTCTGGTGGTCACCCTCAAGTGCAACATTTTGCTAACTACATGATACATACCAGAATGGCATGGGGGAGAAACAAACAACCAGCTATACAACCTAGGACTGGACCAATCAGGCAAATTTATGAGGACTATTACCTTCTTACTCTGTAGAGATCTAATAACAGGATCTTAAGTAATTTACGAGCATCCCTTGAGGTTAGAGCCCGAGATGGTAGGCCCAGGGTGATGAGTGAAACATCGGTAGAGGTCTAACTTAGATGGAAAAAATTAGTCGTTGCTTTCTGTTTTAGAAAAAGGATGCTTTTAGGTATAAGTTGAGTTTGAAGTGACAACTGGGCGTACTAACTCGGTAAACGCATTGCTTCATAAATCTTGCAAACGAGGATGTAATTCTCGATTCAGACCGCAGCTTGAGTTTGAGAAACAGGAAGATATAGACCAATTTTTAGCAAAAAGGGCATCATCACGTCCCAGCTGTAACAAACATCTTAACACAGTTTCCAGCAATTGAAAACGTTTGACTTGCTAGCTTTGCATTTCCAGTATCGTGAGTTTTTGCCATCCTTCGTACGACCGGACCTTGCGGTACATAGGATGATGGACAGATGATGCTTGTTTTACAGTTTGCATGCATACCAAGTATGATACAAGCTGAATGCTGAATATGAAAATGGGGGAAAGAGTGTTTAAACAATTCAAGAGCGAAGGAAATTGGGAATGCAGTTATGATAAGATTAACCCAAATTGTCAAGACCAGGTCCTCCGACGTAAGGATGTCATCGGATAAACCCCAGGTCAAGATCAAGTCCAAAAAATAATCCGTGCGCTAGATCGACACGTGATCAAATCCTCAGGTTCATAGATTTCCCCCAGATTGTTGTTGAATCAACGACAAACATCAAACCATGACAGCTTTATGAATACCTAACAACTCTCCTCGACCTCTTCTTCTATTTCATCTGTATCTCACGGCTTCACAGGTAAGTCTCTCACCATTAACGTGGGGCTGCTATGAAAGTAACCATCATATGGCGAAATCATGGTTCCTCATGGTAGTGAGAGTTCCTACATGATCTCCATACATCTCTTTCACCACCATCTTCATCTATCATTTATACATCTATATATGACGACTATCACATTCTCTATCATTCTAGTAAGTTTAAAAGCTACTCAGCCAAGTATTGCTGTTGCTTTTCCACTTCTTCTCTTCTCTTTGAACTCTCATCTTTCCAGATTCACACAAGCCTCGCTTCGGCTACCAGTCATCATCAAGGATTCCAATCAAGCAAAGAACGGCTACATACCTTATATCTTATTACTATCACTTTTCAAATCAACGCGCCTTCTTTCTGTCAAACATCAACATACAAACTCATAATTCAAAAAACATCAAAACTTACATCTCATACATCAACTTCTACCTTAATATTTAGGTTTATTCTCAATATTTTACAATGGCCGGCGGAAAAGGAAAATCTTCTGGTGGAAAGTCATCTGCTGGAGGCAAGGTTGGCGCAGATGGAAACAAGAAGCAACAAAGTCATTCAAGCAAAGCCGGTCTTCAGGTTAGTATTGCGCAAACTTTGTATTTCATTTTTTCTTTGCCACTATGAAATATTGTGGTTCGATCCGGAGGGAGACGGAAACTACGATTTTTACAACAGCTACACCCCACCAAGTCGCGTCAACTTTCGATCTGCGAACAATCCCTTGGAACAATTACCAACAGTCGCGATACACATCAATCTCGATGACTACAAACTCCTATCCGTGAATCAACTGTTTGTTCAAGGCCTCGTCGAGGAGGTCTTTTCGACGCGCACCGAATATCAACAAGACATGCATACGCGAGATAAATTTTCTCATCCTAGGAAAACCTCGATTTCAGAACACCTCTTTCTTTGTTTTGAGTTGCGCATTAATCGTTGGGTTTGCTACATGCTGACAAATTTTGAATACAGTTTCCTTGCGGTCGTGTCAAGCGTTTCTTGAAGAACAACACCCAGAACAAGATGCGCGTGGGAGCAAAGGCAGCAGTTTATGTTACAGCGGTCTTAGAATACCTAACTGCTGAAGTACTTGAGCTCGCAGGAGTAAGCTACATCTATACCCCACGATTGCGTAAAAAAGCACTCACTGATCAATTTAGAACGCTGCCAAGGATCTCAAAGTCAAGCGTATCACACCCCGCCATCTACAACTTGCTATTCGCGGTGATGAAGAACTCGATACACTCATTCGCGCCACTATCGCTTTCGGAGGTGTGCTACCACACATTAACCGCGCTTTACTTTTGAAGGTAGAACAGAAGAAGAAGAAGACTATCGAGTCCGCATGATTATCGCAAACACACGTCTACGATTCATTTACGCACTCCGCTTTTTTTGCGCTATTTCCTTCTTCTCTTTCTAAGGGTTCAGAGTTTGATGGTGTCTTGGGGATATCTACTTTTTGCTTGGTTTCATAATGGAATTGATTACTTATCATGGATCGGACTATGAGATAGGATTATAAAAGGCTACATGTGTTGATCCATGAATGAGGCACAATTCGGAACGACTTTTCTCTGGATTGTTGTGGAATCGCCTCAGGCCGATGTACTATTATCGATTTTGAATGAGATCGGATATTACTTCAACTTTACAATAGTAAATGTGATGTTCTAAATGATTATGCGGTACTTTGGATACCAATCCAATGCTAAATGCTATACATTCCGGCAATTCGCAATATCCACTTTCTCAAATCCTCCCAGTTGCACGTCCACCGAATTGCTCGAATCAAACAAATGTGGATTGTTATCGAATATGCTTCCTCCTCTGTTCATCCCAGGGGGTGACCTCATCAAGATCATCCTCATCATCACTATCCTCTACTGTATAAAACATCTTCAACGGACTACTAGGTGGACTTTCAATCTCTACACTAGCTCTCCGACTTTTGCTTCCCTCTCCTTCTCCTACCCTCGGCCCCCCAAATCCCCATCCACCACCTCTCCTACCATCTTTCCATACTGCACCTCTGATAACCTCAATCCCGTGAGCTGTTCAATCTTCGCTATACTTTTCCGTTTCTTCACCCGTATGAATTCCCTCACATATCCCTGTTCATCCTCTTCTGTTTCTTCTTCTCCTGCTAGATCATCTAGTTCAGGAGGATACGAGACTCCCAAACCATCTTTCGATTCCTGTCTTTCATTTTCACGTTCTTTTTCTTTCGGACTCGGAGATCCACTGCCGCCATGATTTGTATCCGCAAAGGCAGTATGACTTGTTAAAGGACTAACAATGAATTGCGCCTCGTGTTCTAATCCGCGTTTCTCCGCTTCCAAACTCTTGCGTCGTTCGCGCTCAACGAGCATACTTAAATCGGGAGAAGTGATATCGGGCATGAGATTTGAGGAACTATGGAATTCGCTATGAGCACGAGTGGCTGGTGGTGTAGTAGCTGCTATATCAAATATCAACTGCTGATCTTCTCGTTCATCATCTATGCGCTGACGTTCCTCGGCACTGATAGGAGAAATGGGGAAAATTAACTCCGGCTCGCTCTTTTGTCGCGTTTTGGAAGTTACTGCCGATCGTAAGTGTAGAGTTTGACATTCCGAGGGGAAATCGCAGTCGCGGTAACAATCTTTGCCTATTTTTAATGGAGGGATGAAATGTGGGTTGTTCAGAGAACGACATTCGGTTTTCAGGAGAGAGATGTCCCGTCGCCAGTGGTTGTAATGTTCCCAGCCTGTGTAGTCAAACTCGGCGCGACAGCCACGGGGTTGGCGACGGCGTTTCTTTTTCTTTTTGGGGGGAATCAGGGAAGAAAGAGAACCAGTGGACGGGGACGGGGACACGGGAGAGGTAGTTTGTGGGGAAGGGGGTGGAGTAGGCATAGAGCAGAAGTAATGGCCGTCTTCGACTATAGAGTTCGCTATTAGTAAGTGACGTGTATGAGGGGAAATCAGTAGATCTTACGGCAGCGACGGGTGACGCCAAGACGATAAACGGAGTGGCATATGTGACAGCGCCAAATCCATGGGTAAGGTATAGGAGGTGGGGGCTTGTGAAGAAGTGGCGAGATGGGTGGGCTGGGTAGCAGGCTGCGTTGGTGGAGTCGTCGAGGTGGAGTTAAAGGGGAAAGAGGTGAGGGATGGGATGTTCCATGTTTGAGAAGAGAGGGACAGTTTGGTACATTTATATATTGTGGTCGGCGATCCATCATACCTTATCACGGTGAAGGTGTGCGGTATCCTCGTTGAAGTTGTCGATCAATGATAACTTGATGATCTAGTGATCTCTCGTGAAATGAGGTAGAATAGATGGTGATTTCCGACGGGATATTTCTTTGTTCGTTACTAAGAAGCTATTTCAACAATGTATTCGTTCTCGCGTACTGGAGAAGCCCACTCAACGCCAGCGCGATGTTGCCAATGACAGAAACTCAATGATGAAGCTATAAGGATTTCAAGTATATTTTCGGTGTTCTTCCCACGAAACTTTCCAGGTCTTTAGTCACACATGCCGTCGCTGTGGCAGCAATTCTTTGAAACGAGACTCGTGTTGGAACAACCTGAGGCTCCAACTACAATATCAATAGCAAGGTTCAGAAAGGCCAATTAATTCGAATGGTGATCCTACTTTGCTAATCAAAAAGATGAGATGGAATGACAGGAAGATAGAGAAAAGGCAAGCAATCGAACAAGAAACGAGAAAATCTATAGATGAGCAATTAAAGATTTGCTTTCTTAAATTGTCTCATTCTCAACCATCTGGTCAGGTTCACCATCTGCTGTTGAGACGTCTTTGTTATTGAGGCGTGATCTTTCTTTCAAAGAATTATTCCGTCTAACTAGATTAGAGGTGTGTGTAATTCATCATTGATAGATAAGCAATAAAGGAATAATCAGTGTTGGAATGAGGATGATTTACAATGACGTTTCAAAACCATGCGAAAGTTGTTGGTTGGGTAGTGGGCCAAGGCCAGCCAGCATAATGCAAGTTGGTGTGCTGTCAATCTTCCTGATCAGTTTTGAGGTCAATTTATTGTGAGATCCGACCAACAACTCATCAGGCTTTACATGATATTTGAGATGGTTTAGCGTGGCCAATTTCGATGGATAGATGTTGTGTGGGTTAAACCAAACCTTTTAAGTAACTGTCTGCTGAACCATGTTTCTGGTGGCTCGATATTCAGATTCACGTATTTGAACATTGGTGTTGAGTTTCTGACATTCAAAGTCACTCGACACGGAGTAAATATTGACTCCCTAATCTGGTTTTTGTTTCAAGATTCTGCAATCCTGTTGGGGGTCGCGTTCTGGGTGTTGGCGGTCCACCGTCCAGTCTCGGATGGTCGGTGGTTTTCGATCAGCACCCTTTAAGACTACAGCGAGTGCTGAGCCTTCACGCATCCCAGAAATATATTATCGGGGTTGGCATAGCCTTGATGTCGATATTCTCAATATGTAGATTGATCGATGTCGGCAATTCGAAGGTATAATCTGTGTGATGTAGAAGTCGCGTTTTTCTATGCGTTCTTTCTCATTTCATGAACAAATCATCTCGGTATGGGCGATGGGCTGTAGCGTTTTGTGATGGACAAAATCATCGATCATATAAGCCCCAGACGTCCAATTTCCCCAGCGCTGCAAATCCCAGTTTCTAAAAAAACAAAAGAAGTTCCAGAAGTATGAGGGTCACTGCCCAACCATACTGCTGAATTCATTTCGGTATCTATGCCACCAAGAAGTGATAGCTAAGGATTGATTTGAGACATGTAGCAAGCTTTCCTATCTCGTCCTTGAAAACCTTCGCGTAGGTTATAATAGAATATGCGAGCCAAGAAAACGGCAATTCCGTGTGCTTGCGATATCCAGAGGTATTGTGTGACAGGCTAGGATTAGATACACGAATTCCAAGATCAGTGTAAACCCTTAGATTTCGGATATTTAAGGCTGAGAAGTTCCTGAGTTGATTTCGTGGTTGGTAAAAGTAGCTCATGAACGTATTCGAGGCATGAATCATTCGTGAAGCACTTTCAGAAATGATGAATCAACATCATTCTGTTTGCATATTCAAGTAATTCGAATGCTTGGAGCGCCAAAAACATGCATTTTCGAGAGTTCGATCTTTCAGTCAAACTAAACTGTTAAGTAATGTATATAGGAACACTAGAAAACAGTAAAGGATATTGTACAATTCAACATCTTGAATCGATAAAAGAGCATCGAATTTGATTATTACCCAGGTAGATGGCCAAGTTAATGATTACATAATATCAACACGTGATGCGTGGCAACAATTCGACCCTATCCTTGATGTCTCTTGACGCCGGTACATCACCCTCATCATTATCGTTATCATTCGTCAATTATCAATTGAGTCTCATTATCTTCAATGTTGGGTTGGTGAATTGAAGCTCATGACATGATCATCAACAGCCTCCGATATCTAACCTTCCAACATACATTCAAATTTGGAGACACGATCTCATCTGTTGGACAAAATCAGAAAGAGACAGAATGATCTAGAACAATGAGGGCATTTTGATGATATTCGATTAATTGAAAAGTAATATCTGTATCCGATGGTCCCATAACGATATGCTGAGATGTCTCATTGTAAACAGCAGTTATGCAGGCTTATTTTTCACCCTTGTTAAATGTACGTACGTATCCCCTTGCTTGTCAGAGTAGCATTAGTTGAGACGTCTATAACTAGCTTTTACCGATGGCTCATATTACAAGGTATATGATTGTTTCGTATGAGACCATATACAGTAAATGGGCATCATTCAATCTGTATGGCTGCGGTACTATCACACTCCTGTGCGGCCCTGCATCCGAGTGTTACCGTGGTTCGGATACACCAAGTCTGCCAGGGTCCATGAGTTCTGGTGTGCAAGTCGCCCCATACTGGAAGCCACTTGAAGATCTGATTTTCCAGTGCTTTCATATGAAGTATGTTAGGATATGCTGGATTGATTTGGTCTTGTCTCCACGAGGTTTCACTCTTTTTCGGGTCAATGGATATACATTGGAACGGCGATGTCTTTATGCATTCTCTAGATACTTTCTCTGGTTCATTACGCCATTCGATCATCCATTCCTGCTGTAGGAATACGATCGATATTGAGATATTACCACGTCCAATCCTGCGCCAAACTAAGACGATTCTGATCTAATGCTGACTCTCCATGCTGATTCGAAGGAGTGTTCCCTATTTCTTTCAATTTTTTGAATACCATGAATATCATGAGTCTGAAAAGACGAATCTGTCAACCCGCTCGGTGATCTGAACGTGTCGGGCGGGGCGTTGCGTTCATAAATTTGGATCCATTCTCCGCTCTCATACGCAGAGTAAGTCCTATATCCAAGCCACGCTCTTCTTCCATTGTAACCTTCAAACTCGAACTTCATTTCGATATTTCGTAGTCGATTTGACTCTGGGACTATTGCTATCATTTCGCCCAATCCACTTTCCTCAATTTCTCGAATTCTCTCGGCTACTTTTGCTGTCAACAAACTGTTCCACAGACCTTCCTGCCTATCAGCCTGGTTTAGTAACAAGATAGCTTTGTTCCTTATGCGTCTATGCCGACATTTCGTGGCTACTAGGAACAAGGGCTGTAGTATTTCATTGTCTAATGTGAAACTTGCGGCTCTACGTCCTCCTATTTGAATATTCGATGGCGTGTGGATAATATCGGATGCCCACTTTACCATCGTCTCGAATTCCAACTGAAAATCATCCCAAAGTAGTTCACTCGATTCGTTAAACCTTGCAGAATGTGTTGTGGATGTCGTGACCAATATTTGGGTCATAGTTTTGTGCAGGCGGAGAAGGTCCCTCGCCCTCATTTCCATTGGACTGACTGTTTCAATATTACCTCTGTCGGATGACTTGCATGAAAATGATTCAAACGCTCGATTCCAATTCTCGAGATGAGTCAACAACTGAAATTTGGTTTCCTGGCTGGTAGGGAGCGGAAGGGGAACGCCATTATACATGGAACAAGACAAGAGGTTTCTCGCGCTATATGTCCAGATTGATTCCATTGCCTCGCGCGCTTGTTCAATGTTCAGAAACCTGTCCGGAATAGAATTTGGTGAAGAGCCAAATTCGCCATCAATTATGCGTGCTCTTGAAGTTAAAACCGAGGCTTGTGTATCTAATCTGCCGAATAACATACGGAATATTGGAACGGGAATATGATCTTCGGGCAGATCATGCGAAACAGGAGTTGAGTGTCCGGATACCTGTAGCTCCGAGAATATCTTTACTCCGCCGTCGATATGCGCGAGAGCGGAGTCGTGGTGCCCTCTTAACGTCTTCAGATGCATCATAAGTTGGGATTCAAAAATGCAAACAAATCAACGGAAACTGTGAAGACACTTACCTCGAAGCATATGAATATTATGCAAGTTGTCAACGCCACATTTGCCGACTTACATGTATGCTTGGACATGTTTGGCTGCACCAGACAATTTATTGCCTTCACGTATTGTCGTACAGCAAAGGAATTCTCCTCAGTATCATCCTTTACCTTGGAGATAAATCTATCTTCCAACTCAAATCTCTCATGTAAAGACCCGAGTGCAATAGCTGCATGTCTTACAGCCGGCTCACGATGTGAAGCTTGCAGAACGAAGTAATTCCAAAACTTCGAGCCAAAGCAACCGCTTAGCTGAGGCGCAGTTTGTGTATGGAAAAAGTGGAAAGAATGCTGTTCCTGATCACTGACAGCTAGCGATGGGGACAAGAAGTCGGGAATTATTGTAGGCAGTTGATGTGGAGTATGGCTGGAAGATTTCGGGACGGTTGAAAACGAAATCGCACTAGGTTTGGGGTTTGGACTAGGCGTGCAATGAGCATAGCCGTCGCATTGACGCCCTGTTGCAGCACATTTCCTACATCCGGGTCTCCCTTCGTCGCATTTTACATGGCGAACTCTACAAGAAAGATGTCAGTTGACAGGTTCGTGCACAGAATTTCGATTTAACGGTGTTGTCCAAAAGAAATTCAGAGAATAGACGGCTCTACCATCGATGATATATCATCAAGTGAGAACCCAGTTATCAAAAAAGTATTTAGGACTACTCAGAATTGATCGATATTAAGAAAGTATGATGTGAAATATGGACTCACTTGCATGTTTTGCAACCCGTCTTAGCTCTTGTACTGAATGCCCGAGAGCGTTTAGGAACTTCCTTCTTTATGACC